CGTGGAGTCGGTTCTGACTCATAGCGACCCTGTACAGGGTTTCTGAGGCTGTAAATCTTTACGGGAGCAGAAAGCCTCATCTTTCTCCTGCGGAAGTTTCTATACTGTATGATAAAATACAAATGTCTTAATTGACCCTCTGTTAAAAGGACACACAGTGGAGAGACAGTAATGTGACTATATTACTAGTTTTTCTGAGAACAAAATAAAATATATAGGCCAATGATAAAAAAATTTAAATTGCCTACCTCAAACTCACGACGTTTCTCATAAATTGGAATGATCAACTTGGAAATCTCAGAAATCACTTCGTAACGCTCTGCCTTCCACAAGCCATCCGCACATTGTTCTAACAACTCCAGCAAAACCTCCTGCAAAAAGAGAAAAATCCAATTAAGACTTAAATCGTTTTAACAGTTTGAATAAATAAACCTTGAATCATTTTGAGGTATTAAGCATTAATAAAATATAAAATGACAACATTTTATATTTTAAATACTTGAAATATTTGAAGTTGAAATCATTCATAAAACTCTGAAAAAAAATGTTTACACTAGTAAACTATATCTGCTTATATTTTTATTCTGGTGTTGTCAAGTGCCGTCGAGTCAGTTCTGACCCATAGTGACCCTGTATAGGGTTTCTGCTGACCTTGCAGTTCAAACCGACTTTGCAGTCCAGAGCATTAACCCACAGCGCCACACCAGAACTCCTTATTTTTTATACTCACATAATAAAGTTGTTCACTGTACTTGCAAATGGCAACACACTGAGAAGGAGCATTTGTAAAGGTAATATACTGTTTGCTTCAAATTGAGGATGTCTGAAAATGTCTAACGGTAAATTTCTTTACAGGAGCATAAAGCCTCATCTCTCTTCCATGGAACAGCTGGTGGGTTTGAACTGTCAACCCTGAGGTTAGCAGTCCAGTGCTTATTCTATACCACCACAAGGGCTCAGTATCATCATAGGGTGAGGCTTATAGCACCCCTGAAATATTAAAAGTACTGAAAAGGAAGCATAGATGGAGGGAAAAATAAATTACACCTAAACATCACCAAGGAACGGAAGAACAAGGACCTTCCCTGCAAAGCTGGCGAGAGAGAACACCTTTTCCTAAAGCTGGCTTCCCGAATTCAGACTTCTAGCCTCCTACACTGTGAGACCAACACTCTTCTGTCAGTGTGTCATACTGCTGTGCTACTGGGAGCTGTGCCACCTGTATTTAAAACACCAGCAAGGTCACCCATGGGCAACAAGTTTCAGCAGAGCTTCCAGACTAAGACAGATTGGGAAGAACAAACCGGCCACTGGAAACCTTATGAACATCAATGAAGCATTGTCCGATTATAGTACTGCAAGAGGAGCCCCTCAGGTTGGAAGGTACTCAAAATAAGACTGTGAAGAGCTGCCTCCTCAATATAGAGTTGACCTTAATCCTTTACTAGCATTAGGAACCATGGTGGCACAGTTTAATGCTTTCAGCTGCTAATCAAAAGGTCAGCAGTTCAAACCCCACTAGTGGTTCTGAAGATGGAGCAATTTGCTTCTGTAATGATCACAGCCTTGAAAACCCTATGATAGGTTTACTCTGTTGTATAGGGCCAATGAGTAGAAATTAATTAATTCAACAGCAGTGGGATTTTTTGGGTTAAAAAGGGTACAATAAAAATAGCAGCCAATAACAAGCAGTAGCGAACAGGTGGAGCAAGCAGAACTCATATCCATTAGTGGTTGTTGTTATGTGCCGTGGAGTCGGTTCCGACTCATAGTGACCCTGTACAGGGTTTCCGAGGCTGTAAATCTTTACGGGAGCAGAAAGCCTCATCTTTCTCCTGCGGAACCGCTGGTAGTTTTGAACTGCTGACCTTGCAGTTCGCAGCCCGATTTGTAACCACTACGCTACCAGAGCTCCTAACCACTAGCGGTGGTGGTGGATATATGCCAGGGAGTCGGTTCTGACTCACGGTGACCCTGTATAGGGTTTCCAAGGCTGCAAATCTTTATGGGAGCAGAAAGCCTCATCTTTCTCCTGCAGAACAGCTGGTCATTTCACACTGCTGTCCTTGAGGTTAGCAGCCCAGCTCGTACATAACCCACTATGCTACCAGAGCTCCGTATCTACTGGTGGTGGGAGTATGTAATGGTCTAACCATTTTGAAAAACTTTGGCAACTCCTTAAAATAAACATTTTCCCTGGAATCCAGAAATTCCACCCCTAGGTATTTACTCAAAGGAAATCAGAATCTAAGTCCGCAGAAAACCTTGAAAACTAATGTTTATAGCAACTAATACTTACAACAGTCCCAAACTGGAAACGATCTAAACTTTAGCAACAGGAGAATAAACAACCAAATTGCCTATCAATACAATGGAATAGTATTTTGTAATGGAAAATATATGTTTTTATATACTCAACTGTATGGCTGAATCTCAAAAACATTCAATTAAGCCAAAGAAGCCAGATAAAAAAAGAGTGTATGAAAAATGATTCCATTTTTATGAGCTCAAAATACTAACAAAATGAATCTATGGTGACAGAAATGAGATAAGGGTGGGGAGACTGGAAATGGTCTCAAAGAAACTTTCTGGAAGATTTGACAAATTCTATGACAAAGTCCAAGGAGCTCTGGTAGCGTAGTGGTTACGAATCGGGCTGCTAACCTCAAGGTCGGCAGTTCAAAAGTACCAGCCGTTCCCTGGGAGAAAGATGAGGCTTTCTGCTCCCGTAAAGATTTACAGCCTTGGAAACCCTGTACAGAGTCGCTATGAGTCGGAATCGACTCCATGGTACTTAATAACTACCACTACCACCACCACCAACAACAACATGACAAAGTCCAGGGAGCCCTGGTAGCATAGTGGGTCATGAAGTGGGCTGCTAACCACAAGGTCAGCAGTTTGAATCTACCAGTAGCTCTGAAGGAGAAAAATGAGGCTTTCTGCTCCCGTAAAGATTTATATCCTTGGAAATCACAGACAGGGTTGCTATGAGTCAGAATTGACTGCACTGTATATAACCACCACCATTACAATAAAGTCCTGGTGTGGTGGTGTAGGATAAGCACTGGACTGTTAACCACAGGCTGGTGGTTCCTTGGAAACCCTAAACAGGGTCTCTATGGATCGGAACTGACTCAACAGAATTCAACAACAAATGATAAATTCTAGGAATCCTGGTTGTGGCACTGGATAAGCACTGGACTACCAACTATAAGGTCAGTGGGGTTCAAACTCACCAGCTGCTCCTATACAGGGTTGCTATGAGTTAGAACTGACTAGACAGCAATTAGCAACAACAACAAATGATAAACTCTACAACTTGTCAACTGGTAGGATGCATGGGTGTATACAACTGTCAAAACTCACTGAAGACTTCACTTAAGATGCATGTATTTTATTATGTGTTAATGATATCTTTTGTTATTGTGTGGAGTCAGTTCCTACTCCCGCTGTTTCAAATCAAAAGTCAGAAATAACTTAACAATTTTCATTATAATGTTTTAACTCACATATTTAAATATAGGCAATAAATAGATATTTTGTATTTTCATTTAAAAATGAGGGTGCTCCAAAAAGTTCATGGAAAAACTGAATTAAAACATAATGGAACTGTTCCATGAGCTTTTGAATCTCTCTTGTATAACTTGTAAATCAGTTTAAGTGGTTTTTGTTTTTTTCCCCCGTTGACTCAAGCATAAGGAAATAGATTATATAAACTGCAACATAAAATGGCATTTGGTAGAACATGTTTCTACCTGTAGGTATCAAATAAAGGTATGTAAAAATAATCCCAACAACTATGTTGACATAGAAAATTGATTATAGTTGTTTAGTAATAAGAAGTATCACTGTTCTAGTTTAGAGTATCAAATAGGGTCAGGTTCCAGGTCATCTTTTATGAGTAAGTTGAAGCTGTTTGGAAGGCAAGGATGTGACTTCAGCTGTGCTGAACCCACTTTAATTCTCAGAAATGATCTAAAACTTTCTGTTGCCAGCCAGTAAAACTGAGCAGTCTTTGGAAAATCATTAAAGGTTGATGAAGGTGCAGAAAGGCACAGCTTTACCGCCAAAAATTGTGTTGGGTTTAAAATTCAAGAATTTTGATTCTGTTATGATTAATTCATTCAGCAAACATGTACTAAACATCTACTTGCCTAGGTCCTGGGGGTAAACAGATGCCAACTTGCCTTTAAGAAGCCTCAGTGCCAATGATAAAGCTTGACATTGATGTAGCACTGAATGACTTATAAAGAGCTTTCACATCCCTATATTGTGAAGTCACCAGGCTAGTATTATTGTCCTTATTTTACTGATGAGGAGAAAGACCCATAAAGAAACAGTAGGTTCAACATGTAGTCTTATCCTTCTAGCTAAATGAACCAGAGTTGACTTGAGATTTGCTTGCATTATAAATACACATGCATAAAATATGTATTAAGTGTGTCACTATAATGTTTAATTTGATTGCTCTTAACTTAATCTGAGTTCTTAATTAAAAAATGATTTCTATGGGATTGCAACTCCTTCCATTTCTCTGCTTTTGTTTGTTTCTTCTCCTTGTTTATTTGTTCCCTGGGTGAACTTTTCCATGGTTCAGTCCTTGTTTCTCTGATCCTCACTTGCTATATATATTCTCTTGAATCCTTTCCTAGACACACCTTGCTTTGGTTCTCACACGGATATGATTTCCAGATGTGCATCTCCAACCCTGACCTCTTGCCTTAGAATCAGTTTATCTAATAGTATAATGGTTATTTACCTTTCAATAAACTTTCACTTAAAATTCAACACACATCTAAAGTGGAATTCCTTATCTTCCCTGCAAACCATCTAGGAATCTTTTTTTTTTTTTTTTTGTAATATCTAAAGTTGAAATCTCACAGACATCATAGCCTTTTCCGCTGCCGAGGTTTCCTCCTTTCTTCGCAGTGTTCCCTGAATCTGTCAGCCCCTATGGATGTGCCCCCAGTATATGTCCCACATTACCATTACATGGACGTTCTCTCTTCTTTTTTGCATCTGGTCATTTTCCTGCTCAAGAAGCTTTGATAACAATTCAACATTCTACTAAATAAAGCGTTTCTCAAAATATGGCTTCAAGTACTACACTCTACTTTTGTGAATCCATTGATGTAGCCAAAGGATCTACTCACTGTGTCCTATATATGTGCCTTCTGCTTGCCTACCTCTTACTACTTTTAGTCCATGCTATTCCCCTTTGCTAGACTGCCTCTGGTGTCTTGGTATGGCACTGGAGCATGAGCACTGGACTGCTAATGCTAAGGTCAGTGGTTCAAACCCAGAAGATATTCCTTGGAAATCCTTTACAGGGTCACCATGAGTCAGAACCAACTCAATGCCACTTAACAATAACAACAACAACAATGCTTTCTGGATGTTCTCATTTTCAAACCCTACTCCAGTTATTAAGGCGCTCTGGTAGTGTAGTGGTTACAAGTTGGGCTGATAACCTCGAGGTCAGCAGTTCGAAACTCCCAGATGTTCCACAGGAGAAAGATGAGGCTTTCTGCTCCCGTAAAGATTTACAGCCTCAGAAACCCTGTACAGGGTCGCTATGGGTCGGAACCGACTCCACGGCACATCATCACCATCACCACTCTAGTTATTACTCCTCTGTCCTACCTCAGCTAAAGGCATCTCTCATCTTTGACTCTGCTTGGCACACACCGTCTGTATGACTCACAGGACACTGTCTTGCTTTTATTCCATTTCATGCAGGTGCATTATCTCTTCAGGTAGACACTGGAGGTCACGAACCATGTGGAAATGGTTAACATGCTCAGCTTCTACATAAAAAGTAAGCGAGATTCATGTCCACCCAGAGATGCCTTGGAAAAAAAGCCCGGCAATCTACTTCCAAAAAATCAGCTGCTAAAAATCCTGTGGAGTACAATTTTATCTGAAACACATGGGGATGCCATGAGTAGGAATCCGTTTTATGGAAATTTGTTGATATTGATGTTACATTAGCAAGTACAGGGCTTTGCTTTCACGTCTATGTTCAACTTTTTGTAGATTGACAGCTGAAACTGTTTTCTATTCATATCAAGTTTGGTGGTGGGAGTTATGTGCCGTGGCGTCGGTTCTGACTCATAGTGACCCTGTACAGGGTTTCCGAGGCTGTAAATCTTCACAGGAGCAGAAAGCTTCATCTTTCTCCAGCAGAACAGCTGGTAGTTTCCAACTGCTGACCATGAGATTAGTAGCCCGATTCATAACCACTACACTACCAGAGTTCCTTACATCAACTTTAGAGCAGAGTTTCTCAATTTTTAAAAATACTTTCATGCATGCTTTGCTCTGTTGAAGTAAAAAGACAATTAGAATGCTAACTCTATTTTCTTTATTAGCTTTTACCCCCAATGTAAGCCGACCCAGATCTGGTGACTGGGATGGTGATTTGAGGATGGTAAATGCTGTTTCTAAATGCAGACAATGGAACTAGTTCCAGAGACAGCATTTTACATTCTATACAGGGCAGCTTTGTCTTGAGGAGTTTTCACCATTAAGTTCATTGGAAAGCACTGTCTAATGTAACTATTCAGACGTTAAATTATATAACTGCTAACACAGTCCCTGGAATCTTACTTCACTATAATGGACATCCATCATTCCAGCATCTTCTTTCATTGCTCCTTCTTCATCTATATTGGGAGTGATTTTCTTGAAGGCTGAACATCCATTAGAGAACAATTCTGTGTGAATAAAAAGCAGTGGAGTAAATTTATTAAAAAATACTTTGTAAATAATGGATAGGCTTACAAGATTGGTTAACCTTAAAGATAAAAACATATCCTTTTGTAAGGATAAAAGTCATAGTTGCAAGTTCCAGTTGCAAAAAAAGAATTTTACAAAAGATTTCTATTTCCTACTGTTTTTTCCTCCAAAAGTTAACTCCAGCATAAGTTTCACTCTTTGACAGTGCATCATTTTCAAGGGCTAGCAGAGAGTAAGTAATTCTTTCCCTAGTCATCAGGTCAGTGGTTTGAACCCACCAGTCGCTCCTTGGAAACTCTATACAGGGTCACTATGAGTCGGAACCGAATCAACAGCACTTAGCAACAACAACAGTGCGAGCTAAGAAATTTACGTAATGCTTTGACCATGTGTATGTTCGTGACCTTTCACTTAATCAAGAGTGGCATTCACTCCTCAGGTAGCCACTGAATGATCTTTTGTAACCATCTCCAGTTTGTAGTTTCAGTGGAGAACTGAAAAGGAACTGCATTGTTGGAGAAAGACTAGTTTAGGACTTGTATAAGAGGCAGGAAATCAAACAGATGGCAGGGATGAAGCATTCTTAGAGACACAGGATAGGGCATTGCAAGAACCATAGCTTCTGGAGTTAATAAACCCAGCTCTATCACTCATCTCTTCGAAATTTTAAAATTCCATCTATCTATAAAGCATGAATTATCAAAGCTACTTGATGAAAATTAAATGAAGTATAAAGTAGTTAGAACAGAGCCTAGCATACAACAAATTACTCAGTGAATTGTCATTACCAAAGAAGTCTACCAATAAATAAACTAGTTTCCCCAAGACAGAATAAAATAAATCACTGTTGTCAGCTAGTATAGCAAGTGACTCTGCAACTGGACCTCTGGGAAGTAGGAAGTGAGCCCCAGCTGAGAACAGCTGCTATAGGATTGTGGACCAAATCGTTACTGTCAAGCAGAAGTCTGGGTGTGGAACATCACATAGATTTTAGACATGGGAACATGTCTAAGCACTCTCCTCTGTACTCATAGCGAAGTGTGCTGTAATTTCAGAGTCCAAGGATAATTTGTTCTCCTTATAACAGACTTTGATTTATTGCTGATAATAGCTGGTCACAAAGGCAGTAAATAGCTCTACAATTTCTAATAGTCAGGCTTAGAAATAATGACCTACTCACAACTAAGTATCTGGTAATCTTTGTGGGGTTAGAAGGTTGGGGAGGGAAGAAACTGTTGAAGAAAGTTAGACCTCATGCTGAGATTTTGGAGAAGTCTGGTGGAGAAAATGTCAAGTATCAAAGCTTGGATTTTACGAACTTTTCATGTCTATATTTTAATGTCTATAAGATGCTAACTAGAAATGCATCTTACAAGTAAAATGCTTGACTGAACATGAGTTACCTAATAATCGCTACATTTCCTATAAAAGAGTTGGAAGTCCTGTGGAGTAAGTGGAATTGTTATATTTGTCCTCTAAATTTTATTTATGTTGTATTGAGAATACACACGGCAAAACACACCAATTTTCTATGTGTGCAATTCAGTGTGTGATCAAGAAACAATGACATTGAAAGGGTGTAGCACATCAGGATAAGCACTAGGCTGCTAACCACAAGGTTGGCAGTTCAAACCCACTAGCTGCTACTCAAGAAAACCCTATACAGTGTTACTACCAGTCAAAGCCACCTAACAACCTAGAGGAAGATTACACTCCCTTGTTTGCCTAAGTGTTTAAGTTACCAACCTTTGTTTGTTAGGGTCTTTAAAATGCTTGAGGCAAATTCTGACAGGCCTTAATTCTGGAAAGATTTTCAGATGAAACTAGTTTCTGAGTGGCCAGTTTACATATCTCAGCTGTGAGAGGCCTCTGTTTAAGAGATTTCATATAGCTCCATATGCAGCCTTCGTTAAGATGGCCCTGGAGAGTCTCTCTGGTATTTGACCTGGATTCCAGATCTCACACTTGATAGCTAGAGCTTCTATAATCTAGACTTCGATTGTGAGGAGAGAAAGATGTTAAGGAGAGGAGTTAGTAGTTAAACTGTCCAAGTAGAACACAAGTTAATCCATCAAAAAAGCAAAGGATGGAGGAAGCAGTCCAACCCACAAGAAAAGAAGCTTGCTAGTTAACAACAACAACAACAACAGTCAAAAGAAGATGACTGCTAGTTAAAAAAAAGAAGGAAAAAAAGGAGTCCTGAGGATTGGGCAAGAAGAGAAAAGGCTAGGATTAGGATGGAAGAGGACAGAACGAGTCTTGCAGAATTTAAGCCATCAGACCCTGGGTACAAAGATTAGGGATAGTGAGCAACATTACCCTATAAGGAATGAAAAGAATAGGCTCAATGGGAAAGGAAATTGCATGTTCTAGGGTGATGGGGGGAGTCCTACAGGCCTGATGATTTGTTGAACCTCAGATGGTATGTAGTAGGGAAGAATGCAGAGAGACGTGACTTTTGTCTTCCCTGGGGGAAACAGTTGTGCCCTCTCTCAGGAGAAGACAGACATAGTCTAGCCTCCAGAGTGGTGGAGTTAAGTGCCATCAAGACGAATCCAACTCACAGTGACCCTGTATATGGTCAGACTCAATGGCACTTAATAACAACAAGTAGTATTTTAGTCTATTAAAAAATCTTTTATAGTACACTTCAAGAGAAATAGCTTAAGAATTTGAGAAAGCAAACAGAAAACTTCAGGCAATTGATATAGATTTAAAATAAATGAATTATCCTTCTTCTTTGTCTTTATTATCAAACGACACTGATAATAGAAAACAAAGAGTTCTAGAGTTGCCCAATGATGTTTGATAAAACTTTTTTTCAGTTCTACACTCAAATATATTTTTTATTTTCTCTGTGAATATCCAGGTTTTATATGAACTTCAAAAACCCCACTAACAATGGTGAAGTGTGGAGTTGTTAACACTGGATGGCATGTTAACAGATTCAACTTTTAGCTTGTATATGATTTTAAATTAGTAGTTCACCTCGATACAGCAATCATAGCTTAATCAGCTCATTAACGACAGAAGGGGTTTTGTATTACTGAAACCAACTTAATATTATTTTCTCCCTTCTGAGGACTTTACTATCATGACCACTGTAGAATAAGGTTCTCTAATGTACTGTTGAGTCAGTTTCAACTCATAGCGACCATGTATAGGGCTTCCTAGTAGCAGCTGGTGGATTTGAACTGCCGACCCTGTGGTTCACAGTCCACTGTTGATTCTACAGCACCACACCAGGACTCTAGTTTAGGCAAGTAGAACTTCCCAGGTTTAAAGATAGATGGCACCTATTAATAACTATGCAATCTTCTCCTTCATTTATCAGTCTTTTTGTTTAAAATTAAAAACAACATTTTTTTCCCCTCCTCAGAGAGGGGCTCTTTAATGTCTATAAAGAATATCTTCTTAAAAACCTTGAATGCATTATGAAATAAATATTTATATAACTAGTTAAAAGCACTGGATTCACTTGTTGAAACAAGTCACAGGGTTTGATGTGTACGCTAGTCAACTCATGGCTAAGGCTCAAAAAATGATAGCAAGATTTTTATTCTGTTTTGATTGCTATTTTGTCCAATCCTATAATGAAACTTCTAAAACTTAAGGATTCATAAATGATAGAAATAATTCTTGGTTTTTCACTCAGTTTTAAGGTTGCTTGTTTCAAAACTAAATATTGTAGAAAAATATTCATTTCAATTATATTTGACTATAGTGTAAAAAATCCAAAGGGGTACAGTTTTATAGTTAGTGGACACAGAATTCTTACTTCATACTTGTAGTAATAGAAAAATGACAGTGTATTAGTCTAATTTCTCTGAAAGACCCCCATAAAATTATATGCAGTATTGTATTTGAGAGGCTCAGATCTGCCTGTTTATTTGATGTGCAATTTCAGTATTCATTTATATATATACTATAACTTCACAGTTATACCAGTGATATATAAAAACAAAAAACAAAACCCCAACTTTTTCTGAAAACTTAAACTCTTCATTATAAATCTTAATATGCACTTATTGTTGCTAAGTGTCATCTAGTCAGTTCTGAGGAGTGGCTGGTGGGTGTGAACTGCCAATCCTGTGGTTAGCAGTCCAGTGCTTATCCTATAACAACACACCAGGACTCTACTTCTACACATATACATTAAAAGGAACAACAAAACAAGATTAAAAAAAAACCCTAGAACAAATATACCAATTTAAAACACATGGATTGGTCAAAAGATTTTCAGTATCAAACATAAAATGCTAAATTAAAAATATTAGTCAAATGAATTTAAACTAAATTTAAAGTATTAGCTAAATTTAAAATATGAGTCAAATGAATCTACATTTAAATCATGAGATCTTTGGGAAGAATTCTTTTTCCTTTCCAAATATAAAGATTCTCTGAATGGGTAGTGGTTGGAGACAAACACACTCTGAGCCTTAGGTAAATGAAACATAAATAATTAACTTTCAGAATTCTGGAATTAAAAAACAAAACACAGTTGTACTTCTATAGCTAAAGCCAAAGAATGATATGAGTCTCCTAAATTGGTTTCATTTTGCACTAATGCTACTCACTGCATGGCCTTTTTTTAATTTAAGGAAGTAGCTGAAATATTGTACTAGATATTGTGATAGATAGGGGCGGTTTCTTGATTACAATTGCTGCTGCCAAGCAAATAATAAAACCCAATTCAACTGCTTTACTATTTGAGTAATCAGTTACAGTTGCCAACAATAGTCTTTCTGGAAAGGAAAGCTTTTGGGCAAAGACCTGAATTAGAGCTGCTGGATTTTGACGTCCTTTGAGAGCATGGCTCCCTGTTCAATGCACCCAAGTAGCTTTACAGACATGGTTGATGGGCAGTGGTTGGTGAAGCTGAGGCAGAAGGGACAGAAAGAAGTAGTTTGTATTTATTCTGAGCTTCTCAGGAGCCCTAAGAAGAATTTAATTTGTGGCAGTCTTCCAGGGAGACAGCCTTGGAAATAAACATTGGACATCAGGCCTGGCTTGGTATTATATAACTGATTCTTGTACGCCTTAAAGAAAGCAGAAAGCAGATGAACAAACCCACTCTTCTTTCCTAACAATTGCTGTTTAACACCAAAGGTCTTCTGAAGGTAGACATATTTTTCAGAGCTCAATTAAATCATATTTATAGTTGTAATCTACTAAGGTAGAAACTACTGTGCTAACTGAAAATTTCCCTCTCAAAAACAGAAGTATCTTACTTTTTCGATGAAGAAACTCTGCAACCAAAGCTGCTACGTGAACATAACACATTGCAGCCTAAAAAGGAAAAAAAAAAAAGAACCCATGAGAATGTGCTCAATGGCAATAGAAGGGCTCTGTTTAGAATAAAACCTTAAGTCTGTCACCTCTGAAAAATCGCCATTTTTTATGTGAATCTTGGCCATGCTGTCAAGCCAGGTTTTCCTGAGCTCCGGGGTGCTTGCATAGGACTTGGCTAAGCTATACTGGAGATCAATTAGCATTTCAGGGTCTTTCTCATGTTCCTTCATCTGAGCAGTGGCCATCAGAACAGTCCGGATTCTCTTGGTCAAGTCTTTGACTTCTGTGGGAAAAGCAGTTGCCTAAATTTGAGACAAATGAAAAAGACACGTTTTAACCATATTATTGATGTGCTGTAAGCCTCAGCATCCAATCCTGAGAACATCGTGAGATTTTTATTACTTGGAATGTGCTTTTAGGTATATTGCACGCTGTTGTTGTTAAGTACTGTTGAGTCAGTTGCAACTCATATGGTTTCTGAAAAGTGGCTGGTAGGTTTGAACTGCTAACCTTGTAGTTACCAGTTAAGTGGTCATCCTATAGCGTCACACCAGAAGTGCAGGTCTACTGCATTGGACAAGCCTAAAGAGCTTCACATTAATTATCTTTAAAATATATATAACTAGTCCAGATTTCAAAGGTTCTAAACTTGAGGAGCATTATATTCACGATCCTTAAGGGCATGGGCTCTAGAAACAGACTGCGGGGCTTAGAATTCTAGTTGTTACACTGTGGATTCCATGGTCATATGTGCCCATTACTGTGTGGACTTATATTGCTGATGGTGGTGGTGTGCCAACAAGTCGATTCCGACTTACAGCAACCCTACATATGTTCCAAGACGGTACATCTTTATGGGAGCAGAAAGCCTCATCTTTCTTTCTTGGAGTGCCTGGTGGACTTGAACCGCTGACCTTGTGCTTAGCAGCCCAATTCATAATCCACTATGCTACCAGAGCCTCTGTAGCACTTGCCGTTGAGTTAGTTCCACCTCATAGCAAGCCTGTATAGAGTTTTTCTAAGTAGCAGCTAGTGGGTTTAAACTGCAGATCTCGTGGGTCGCAAGTCCAGTGCTTATCCTAAAGTGCCACACCAGGAATAGTAGCTAAAAATTGGTGACAGCTTATTATGTACCAGACACTGGTCTGGGTGCTTTACACATCTGAACTTAATTTTGACAACTCTGTGAGTTAAGCACAATTTTGTTTTAATAAGGGGAAAAGTGAGGCACAGAACAGTTTAGTGGCTTGGTAAGTCACAGAGATAGGAGTAATTATACCCAGGCAGGTGGCTCTAAGAAATTTTCATTATTCTGCCCCCAGGATGCTCAACCAACACCCTTTAAAACATAATTATTATTGTTAAATAATGTGCATTATTGATCAATGTACTGGTGGACAGGTACACCTTGGTGTCATCAGCTTAATCAGTAATGACTGCCTAACAGAATAGCACACAGCCACTTCAAAACTAAGTCAGAAAAAAGGTTTTCTAACAAGAAGAGACAACACAAATGTGATTTACTTTGAAAAAGTATTAATCCATAAGTATAACAAGGCATTATGGATGCTAAAATTGGGAAAATAAGCTTAGAATTTAAGTTAATGATCAATGATCACAAACCATAAGTTGTTTCTATGCTCACAACTCCTCTGTCAGTTTGTCGTACTGTGGTGGTTTATGTGTTGCTGTGACACTGGAAGCTACGCCATTGCATTTAAAATACTAGCAGGGTCACTATGGTGGACAGGTTTCAGTGGAGCTTCCAAACTAAGATGGACTAGAAAGAGGACTTGGGGTTCTACTTCTAAAATAATTGACCACTGAGCAATTCATGAATAGCATGGGGCATTATCTGGTAAGTGCCAGAAGATGAGTGCCTCAAGATGGAAGGCACTAAAATTACAATTGGGCCAACCAAAATGATGTGTTTAAGACCTTCATTAGCTGATGTTACATGGCTCAAAATGAGAAGAAACAGTTGCATTAATAATTCCTATGTGGATGTATGAAGTATGAATCTAGCAAAATTAGAAGTTGTCAGAAATGCAATGGAACCCATAAAAATTACTGTCTATACATTAGTGAGCTGAAATAGAATGGGATTGGACATTTTGAATACGACAATCATATTTTCTACTATGCTGGGAATGACAAATTAAAACAGGAATGGCAGCACATTAATCATCAAAAAGATCATTTCAGTATGTATCCTGAAACACAATGCTGTTACGTGATAGGATAATATCTGTATACCTACAAGGAAGATCAGTTAATAAAACTATGATTCAAATTTATACACCAACCACTAATACCAAAGATGAAGAAATTGAGGATTTTTTCCAACCAATTTCTGAAGTCTGAAATTAATCAAACATGCATTGATGATTACTGTTGAATAGAATGCAAAACTTGGAAAGGATCTGCAGTTGGAAAATATGGCCTTGGTGATTGAAACTCTGCTGGAGATTGCCTGATGCAATTTTGCAAGACCAACAACCAATTCATTGGACAAACTTTCAACAACATAAATGGTGACTATACACATGGATCTCACCAAGTGTAAAGCACACAAATCAAATCAACTACATCTGTAAAAAGAGATGATGGACAAGTTCAGAATCATCAGCCAAAACAACGCGAGGCGCCAACTGAGCAACAGACCAACCAATTACTCATGTTGTTGTTATGTGCCGTACAGGGTTTCCGAGGCTGTAAATCTTTACGGGAGCAGAAAGCCTCATCTTTCTCCCGCAGAACAGCTGGTAGTTTTGAACTGCTGACCGTGAGATTTGCAGCCCGATTCGTAACCACTACGCTACCAGAACATTGGCAAGCTCAAATTGAAGCAAAGGAAAAATAAAGCCAATCCATGAGTGCCAAAGTACAATCTTTTTTTTTTTTTTTTTAAGCGCTTTTATGATTTTATTTAGCACAAATAGCACTAGAAAGCAGGCTGTCTGTTCATTGTCTTCGCTGCGCAGCCTGGCACTGGGATCGGTGACTCTGATGGCCGGCTGAGCTGCTCTTTCCACGACGGCTTTGCGGTTCTTGGAAGAAATGTTGTGAGGATTCTCTACACAGTCAGGTTTGTTGCACATCAGCAGCACCTCCAGCTCTTTGACGTTGTGAACGAGGAACTTGCAGAAGCCGCTGGGCAGCATGTGTTTTGCCTTCTTGTTGCTCCCATATCCAATGCTGGGCATTAAGATCTGGCCCTTAAATCTTCTCCGCACCCTGGGCTTGCACCATTTACACTTAATTTTGACATAATGATCTGATTGGTTCTGGATGAACTTCCTGGTCCTCTTTTTGACAATCTTGGGCTTCACCAGGGGTCTTAGGGCAGCCATGATGCCTGATAAGATGGCTGCCTCCTCCTTAGGCAGCACAGAAGAAGAGCCCAAAGTACAATCTTGAGTATATCATATCTGATTTTAGAAAACATCTCAAGGATAAATTGAAGGCATTGATACTCGTGACTGAAGACCAGACAAGTTGTGGGATGGCATCAAGGACATCATTTATGAAGAAAACAAAAGAACAGAACAAAATGGAGACTCCAAAGTTTGCTCTTGACAATAGAATAGCCAAAGTGAATGGAAGAATGAGAAAGCTAAAGAGTTGAGCAGAAGATTTCAAAGGGATGCTCAAGAAGAAGCCAAATAAAGTATTACACTGAAATGTGCAAATACCTGGAGCTTGAAAACCAAAAGAGAAGAACACGCTCAACATTTCTCAAGCTGAAAGAACTGAATAAAAAATTCAAGTCTCAGGTTGTAGTATTAAAGGATTCTATGGGCAAAATATTGAATGATGCAGGAAGCATCAAAAGGAGATGGAGATGCATGGAGGGGATTGTAACCATGGCAATGAAACGATACACGATAGAATGAATGTAAAACTAATGATCTCCCATGTAAACTATCATATAATTCACAATAAAACATTAAAAACAAAACAAAAAGAAGACGGAAGTAGTCATGGAGGGCTAGAGCTGAGCGTGAAGCATCCAGCTGATATAAAGTGAGTGGAGACATACAAGAACACCTAAACTTGCAGATAGTACCCATTTGACCTTGCCTTGATGGCTTGATAATCAGAACTTGACTAGAGGAAGATAAGAGAAAAAAAAATTGATAAGGGAAATGAAGGTAAATTGCTACGATTTGATGAACTTTACCTATACTCATAGATGTTGTCACTGAAAATACCAACAGAAAGGGATGGAATCTTCACATCAAGTTTCAATGCTATCCCCTCTGTATACAGGGTAGATAGGAACGGGCAACTTAGACATTGGCTACCTAAAATGAGGGGACTATAAAGGCACAAAATGACTGGCTTACAAGGTTTCAAGAGGGAGATTAGTTTAAGAGTTTGGGAGGGGAAGAAAGCATCCCCACTGAAGAGTTTTCATCTTGTCTAGATGGGTCTGGTGAAAAGAGATGGGGACAAGATTCTTATAATTCAATAGTGATTCATTGTTATCATGACTAATTGTGACTGTCACAACTGTAAAGGTACAAGTTTTATAACAAAATCGGGGGAGTAGTTAATGTTACAGTCCAGAAACAGAGGACCCTAGGACCATCAAGGGAGAAGAGCACAAGTGGAATGTGGGACCCTATCCAGAGAAGCAGCGACACCAGAGATAGAAGCAGAGATGAGGATATGGAGACAGGGAGCAGCTGAGGACTCTAGAATCATGGAAAGAGAGGGACTGAATGCTGGCGGCCAGGGGATAGGCTTTCAGAATATGCCCTTTGGTGGTTTAAATTATTATATATTCCTGAGTGTTTTTGTGTACCTCTCCCCACCCCTTCCTGCCCCCCCCCAAAAAAAAAAATAAAACAGAGGGAATGGAAGCAAATACTGTTGGATGATGATGCACAGAGGAGATTGTAAATCATTGCAATGAAATGATGGTATAAAGCCAATGTTCTCCCATATAAACTATCACTCAGTTCACACACACACACACACACACACACACACACAAAAAGATGGAAGGAACACACAGAATCAATACACCAAAAAGAATTGGTGAATATTCAAACATTTCAAGAGGTAACATATGATTAAGAACAAATGGTATTGAAGGAAGACGTCTAAGATGGACTGAAGGTGTTGATTTAGAAAAAAAAAGGGCTGCGGGAATTGACAGAAGACCAGTTGAAATGTCTTAACAAATTGATGCAGCACTGGACGCACTCACTTGTCTGTGCTAAGAAATTTGGAAGACAGCTACTTGGCCAGCCGACTGGAAGAGATCCATATTTATGCCCTTCCCAAAGAAAGGTGACCGAAAAGAATAAAGAAACTATTGAACAAAATTATTAATATCACACACAAGTTAATTTTTTGCTGAACATAACTAAAAACTGGTTGTAGCAATACATTGACAGGGAGCTGCCAGAAATTCAAGCCAGAATGAGAGAGATCGTATCTGTCAGCCAAGTCATATGGATCTTGGCTGAAAGTAGAGAATACCAGAAAGATGTTTTTCTGTGTTTTATTGACTATGCAAAGGCATATGACTGTGTGGCTCATGACAAGCTATGGACAACAATGTGAAGGATGGGAATTTTAGAACACTTAACTGTCCTCATGTGGAATCTGTACATAGGCTGTCCTTAGGACAGCACAAAGGGGTATACTGTTGTTGTTGTTGTTATGTGCTGTGGAGTCGGTTCAAGGGATATATTATGTGGTTTAAAATCAGGTAAGGTGTCTGTAAGCATTGTGTTGTATTCTTTCACCTTAATTTATACGCTGGGCAAAGAATCCCAGAAACTGAAAGAGGAAGAATGAGGCATCAAGACTGGAGCAAGACTAGAGGAAGACTCGTTAACAATCTGTGATATTCAGATGGCACAACTTTGCTGCTGAAAGTAAAGAGAAATTGAAGCACTTACTGATGAGGATCAAAGACTATAACCTTCAATATGGACTACACCTCAATATAAAGGGGAAAAAAAAAAGGTCCTCACAACTGGACCAATAAGGAACACCAGGATAAACAGAGAAAAGACTGAAGCTGTCAGGGATTTCATTTTATTTGGACAGGAAATCAAATGATGAATATTGGGAAATCTGCTGCAAGACTTCTTTAAAATGTTAAACACCGAAAGAAAAACAAAACAACAACAACAACAAAAAAAACCAAAAAAAAAACTGAAAAGATGTCAGTTAAGGACTAAGGTGTGCCTGACCCAAGCCATGGTATTTTCAATGACCTCCTCTATATGTGAAAGCTGGACAATAAATAATGAGACCAAAGGAGAATTGATGTCTTTGAATAAAGGTGTTAGTGAAGAATATTGAATATGCCACAGACTGCCAGAAGAACAAACAAATCTGTTTTGGAAGAAATACAGTCAGGTGCTCCTTAGAAATGAGAATGGCGAGACTTCATTTTTCATACTTTGGACATGCTATCAGGAAGAAGCAATCCCTGCAGAAGGACATCATGCTTATTAAAGCAGAAAGTCAGTGAAACAGAGGAAGTCTCTTAAGGAGATGGGTTAACACAATGACTGCAATAATGGGTTCAAACACAGGATGATTGTGAGGATGGTGCAGGACCAGGCCATTCTGTTGTACGTAGGGCTGCTATGAGTTGGAACCTGACTCGAAGGCACTGAACAACAACATGCTCATGGGGTTTAGTTAGTGATCTCCTAGGGAACCAGTAGAACTGGCTGAAAAGCAAACTTTCCCAGCCTGAGAGCAGCTGGCACTACTCAGTGTTCGGCTTTTTTCTCCCTCAGCCTGAGCAATGTTCCTATGGGAAGATTTTTTTGTGCACAAACTCTACATGTCTCAACTATCAAATATGGTGTGACTGTGAGCTTTTTTTCCCTGCAGATTTTACACATTATTGTCAAATTACGCTGGAAGATGACCTTTCCCAAGAATGGGGATGATTCCTCTGGGAGGAAAACTCCTCAGCCAATGAAGGATTCTTCTTCCCTCCCTCACATGTATCACTCACTGAAGATTAAAACCTGCATTTGTTGTTAAGGAAGTAACATACAGAATTTTATAATGCTATTGATTTTAAGTATGTAAGTAAGAAAGAGGAATGATCAGAGCCCTGGGCTTGGCATCAGCCTTAACCTCAGCCAACTGATCCCTAAGAATGCCAGCCCTGGACTTGGACTTGGCAATAAGTATTTATGGCAAGCCAAAATCAGTTAACAGATGATTCTTGTAACTCAGAATGCCAAGGCAGCTGGCAGCTGCTCTAAAAACTGAGAGTTTGTGAAATTCCAAACTCAGTGCTTAATTAGCTAATATTATAGATGATAATGACTGTTAAAAAAAAGAAAGGACTCATTGATTTTCTGAGCAAGTTAAAAAAAATCAATCCCAGAAAAACTTGGAACTTAGTCGCTACAATTGGGTAGTTGTTGTTAGGTGCTGTTGAGTTGATTTTGACTCAGTTACTCCGTATGACAGAGCACATTGTCCCATAGTGTTCTCTAAGCTATAATCTTTTTTAAAAAAATATATAATCATTTAAACAACAATAAGGCACATTCTACAAGCCTGTCTTCTGGCCGCCAGCACATAGCCTTTCTCTTTCCATGAGTCTAGAGTTCCTCAGCTGCTCTCTTTCTCTCTCTCTCCATGCCATCATCTCTGCCTCCATCTCTGATGTCATTGCTTCTCTGGATTCTTGATGGTCCTAGGGTCCTCTGTTCCTGGAATGTAAGATTAACAACTCCCCCCTTTTTGTTACAAAACTTCTACCTTTACAGTTGTGACAATCACAGTTAGTCATAACATTTCTCACCATTTAATTATAAGAATCTTATCCCCATCTCCTTTCACCAGACTTATCTAGACAAGATGAAAACTATTCAGTGGGGACTCTACCTTCTCCTGCACACTATTAAACTAAACTCCCTCTTGAAAACTTGTAAGCCAGTCACTTTGTGCCTTTATTGTTGTTGTTATGTGCCATGGAGTCTGTTCCGACTCATAGCGACCCTGGACAGGGTTTCCAAGACTGTAAATCTTTACGGGAGCAAAAAGCCTCATCTTTCTCCCACGGAACAGCTGGTAGTTTTGAACTGCTGACCTTGCGGTTCACAGCCCGATTCGTAACCACTACGCTACCAGAGCTCCTTTATAGCCCCCCATTTTAGGTAGCCAATGTCTAAATTGCCTGCTCCTGTCAACCCTGTATACTGAGGGGCTAGGTTTGATCCTTGATGTGAAGACTCCTTCCCTCTCGGTTGGTATTTTGAGCTACTACATTCATAAGTATAGATCAAGTTAATAAAATTGTAGCGATTTCCACTTGCTTCCTTTATGAAATTTTTTTATCTTCCTCTAGTTGAGCTCTGGTCATTAAGCCATCAAAGATAGGTCAAATAGTTACTATCTGCAAGTTTGGGTGTTCTTGTGTGTCTCCCCTCACATCATATCAGCTTGGCTCTCAGCTCTAGCCCTCCATGGCTATGTCCTTGTCCATGGGCTCAGGAGTCCCCAGGTCTCACCACACTTTGGACCAACCAGCCCTTTCTCACATGTCCAGGTCAACGGGAGTCTATGCAATGTGGTCGAACTCAGCCCATATCTTCATTGCTGCCTTCCCCCCACTTCTACTCACACGTAGACCAATGTGGGCTCTAGCAAGCTTACAAGCCTGCTCTTGTGTTCCCTTTGAGTTTCAGTCTTAGAGGAGGGTGTTTTGGAGGGGAGTTTGTCCTTAAGGGCCTTGATGACTTCCCAGCAAAGAGCTTGCTTGTTCTTATAGTAGCCAAAAAGACTTGACATTTTTGTTTTTGTTTTTCCTACTGGTCTGTCTTTCAAGAAGTATCTCGAGCCTCTCTGGGCTGGTCTGCTTGTCCTTTCTAGTGGGAATGTCCCACATCAGAATGTTCTGGATGGGGCCCGAGGTCCTATAAACTACAAGAGCACCGTAAGAAGCTTATTTCACTGGGTAAGTTCTAGAACCCCTCTTTGGTATTCCAATCAGTTGTAGGATGAAGATGGGTTTACAAGCTTTCTGTAGTTGAGTTTCCCAATACTGGCTGAATCTTTATGGGAGCAGATTGTCAGGTCCTTCTCCCATGGAGCCACTGAGTGGGTTCGCACCTCCAGCTTTTCAGTTATCAGTTGAGCATTTAACCTTAGCACCACCAGGGCTCTACATATTCACAGTAAACTCGTCCATTCATTTATCCAACTCATCCTGAACATTTGCTATGTACCAAGCAGTACTCTAGGTTCTAAAGCTATACCAGCATTTAAGACAAAGCTCTGAACTCCTGGATTTCACATTCTTGGCACTCTATACGATCAACAGTTGAGAATCCAATGACAATTTAACTCTAGGAACTGTAAATGTCTCAGATCATGAAGATGGTTTTAACTTATCACTTAAAGTAAGCACGTACCTTCATAGGTCTGTCACTATTGGCAAAATTATTGATAATGAACAAAGACTCCTGAAATCTTGATCCTCCACTCAGTGCTACATCAGCTATCAGCTGGCTCACAGCAATTATTATCTGTAGGGAAGAAGCAAACAAGTTTTTTTCAGTAGCTTTGACAAATTTTCACCATTGTACAAGCACATAAGCACTCATAAGAAGTACTTCAAAAGATTCTATTACAGTTCCTATTTTTCTCACCCATGAGGGCTAACTGTAAACAGTTTTCCACTCAAATAACTTCAAAGGTTACAATTTCAACTTTTGGGGGGAGCTTTCTTGGCTACATGTAAATAGTTTTTCAAAATTCCTAATACAGCTAGATTTGAAACTGCTTTTCATAACAATAGTGACCAGAAGCAGTCAGGATGCTATTTTGAATATGTTTGCTTAGCCAGGGGCCAAGCTGGGAACAAATGATCTTTTTCTCAGTTGGTTTCCCACTCCTTTCCACCAGTCTGTTTTAATATGCTAAATCCCAAATCCAGCACACCTCAGGGCTTCTTTCTTCTTGACCAGGGCCTACCTAGTTTAGACAGTAGCTCATGCAATGGCGTTTGATGGTACTTTTTAATCTCTCAGAGCCCTCCTGGATGAATGCCTAAACCATCGGGGCTAAGGTATGTTAATGGCTGGATTCATAACCCCTGATTGAGCTGGGCAGTTAGTCTTACATAGTAGTACTTAGGAGTGCAGGCTTTGGAGTCACACTGGGTTAAATTCAAATCTTGGTTTTATCCCACATTCACAAAACCAAACTGTGGCTTTGGCTAAGTTCCTTAACCTTTCTGTGCCTCACCTTCTTCATTTGTGAAATGAGAATGATAAATTTTACTTTACAGTGTTGTCATTAGGATTAAAGAGATCATACTTATCAAGACTAACAGCTGTTGAACATTTGCTATGTGTCACGTCTAGTTCTAAGTCATCTCGTATTGACATATTGTTTCATTCATTTATAATTTACAGAGAGAACTGATCTGTAACCCAGAGAAGCATGAGCCCTAATGGAGAATTTCAGGTGTACTGGGCATGATAACTGGAGAAAGGTTCTTGGGAAAGATGGCATTCAAATGACATCTCATATTAAAGGAACTAGATAAAGACCTCATGTGTAATGTAGACCCCTGGTATCCAGAAATAACTAGGTAGCAGATCTTTACAGGAGGCATACATTTCTATCAGATTTTCATATTAATGAAGGCATTCTTTAAAAGTTGCTTACAGGGTTTTCCCATTAATGACTCAATCTTCAATAACCTAGCCCAACAAGATAGATCATGGCAGTGAAGATATAAATCAAGAATTTCTCATATTAGATCTATGGAGCCAGGAAGTCCTAATTGTGGTTTCATTCAGAGCTGTTTAATCAAATAAGCACTCAAAAAACCCGGAGATTTTGATATGAACTCACTAAGAGTCAGAACTGACTGAACCTCAACAGCACTTTACAAGTACCACCATATAAAAAGTATCTGTTCCAGGTACTACTAGAAACACTTCGATTTTCTTTTTAAATTTTTACATGTTTTTGGTGAAAATATATACAACACACATCCATTCAACTATATTTTCAACAATTTTTTTAAAACCCGTTATATGTAATCCTTATGATAACTATGAACGGTTAATCTACTTGGTCTCATAGCTAAGAAGTGGTTCGGATGGATTGAGTAGCTTGCCTAGGATCACAGAGCAAGTGCAGAGTTGAGCTAGAATTCAAGCCTAGGTAGGTCTGATTCCAAAGTCCGTATTTTCCACTATTTCAAATTCTCATTTTAAAATAATTGAACATACCGGAACATGAAATCGCAAATCTTATTTCCTTCAACTTTTTTTATCTGTTGTTGTTATAGTTAAGTGCCATTGAGTTGCTTCCGATCATAGTAACCCTGTATAAAGTTTCTGAGGAGCGGCTGGTGGGTTTGAACTACTGACCTTGAGGTGAGCAGTCCAGTGCTGCAACTACAGCGCCACGCTGATAGCTAGCAAGTATTTGCTACTGTCATCTCATTTAATTCTTCATAAAAACTCTGAGGTAGGTACTAATATGACTCCTACTTTACGTATGAAAACAAGGCACTGAGCTGCTAACTTGCTCAGGGTCACATGGTGTGGTGAATCTGAAGGAGACCTGGAATCTGAACAAGAGTCTACATTCTTAACCTATGATCCAGAGCAGTACGCTGTCTAGCAGCCAGCTTAAAAAGGAAAAACACCAGTGAAATGAATATTAATAATATATTTTACTTAGGCGCTGTAGGATAAGCACTGGACTGCAAGGTCGGTTTGAACTGCAAGGTTGATGGTTCAAATTCACCAATGACTCCTTGGAAACCCTATACAAGGTCACTATGAGTGGGAACTAACTCAATGGCACACAACAACAATATATCCAAAATATCATTTCAATATATAATCAACATCAAACAATTGAGATGTTTTACTTTGTGTGTGGGGGGGTGGGGTGGGGTATTAAAGCCACTGGAATTCTACTGTGGTGCTGTAGGAGCTCTGGTAGTGTAGTGGTTACGAATCGGGCTGTGAACCGCAAGGTCAGCAGTTCGAAACTACCAGCTGCTCCGTGGGAGAAAGAGGAGGCTTTCTGCTCCTGTAAAGATTTACAGCCTTGGAAACCCTGTACAGGGTCACTATGGGTCAGAACCGACTCGACGGCACTTAACAACACTTAACAACAACAACAGGATAAGCACCAGATGCTAACAGGAAGGTCAGGAATTCCTTGGAAACACTATTTAGGGGTTGCTATGAGTTGAACTCAGTGGTACACAGCAACAACAACAAAGCTCCAAAAGCCGTTGCATATCTTACAATTCAAAAAAACCAGATCCAGTTGCTATGGAAATAATGCCAACTGATAGCAGCCCTATGAGGCCGAGTAGAACTGCCCCCTTGGGTATCTGAGGTTGTAAATCTTTATGGTAGCTGACTACCTCAACTTCCTCCCATGGATTAGCTGGAGGGTTGGAAAAGCACACCTTTTCAGTTAGCTCCTTTTATTAATTCATTAATTTTACATTCATAGAAGGTCTCTATTCAGACTATTCACATTTCAAGTCCTAAATAGCCACATATGGCTAATGGCTACCTCCTTTGACAGGACAGCTCTAGATCTTGATTGTTGTTGTTATGTGCCATGGAGTTGGTTCTGACTCATAGCGACCCTGTACAGGGTTTCCGAGGCTGTAAAGCCTCATCTTCCTCCCGCAGAACAGCTGATAGCTTCGAACTGCTGACCCTGAGGTTTGCAGCCCAATTCGTAACCACTAGTTTAAGAGGTTAAAATTGAAAAGAAAAGAGAAGAGGTGCCTTGATTTTCACTGACCTGTAGGTGTGTCCTCAAAAAGGTTTTCCTTTTGGTATACTCAAAGTTGTTTCTCATCAAAAGATACAAAAGGGCAGATGCTTCATTCCTGGTTGAGCTAATCTTCGAGGTGCAGCATTTTAAAACTTCATAGCAAAATGCAGCACACATATTTACCCGTCCTTTGAAAAAGGCTGAGGGAAACTAAAGACCAGGGAAAACATAAATAAGTATATCTGAAAGCCCAATTAGAAAAGTAATCAAGTATCAAATCCCCCAAATAGTTCTGGCTGCTTTGAAGGTACAAAACCAACACAAGAGTTCTCAAGAGAGCATGAGCTAGTTAAAAAAAAAAACAGAAGACCAGCATGCAACAGAACACGACAAAACATTTCAAGAGTGTATACAAGTCAGTATAATAATGTGAGGTATGACTGTAGATTTGAGAAGAGGTTAAGATGGTCTCAATAATATGTGTCCAACAAATGAATGACTAAAATAATAAATGACTGAAAGAATAAATGGTGGGTACTGAACTGGGCCTTAAGAATGAGAAGGACAATTTACAATGCATATCCTCTGTTGCTTTCTATTTAAGTAGTTCCTTATGAACTTGCAAGTGCTGAGAAAATGAAGCTGGAATCTGCTCAGCAAGTGAAGTTGATCAAAAGGAGTATAGATGAAGCGGATACACAAACACACTGACACACACCTTTTACTCACAAATGGCATTAATTTTGGCATAGAAAGAATACAAAACAGGGAGTCCAGGTGTGGTGTTATAAAATAAACACTAAAGTGCTAATCCCAAGGTTGGCAGTTCAAACTCACCAGCCACTCCTTTAGAAACCCTATACAGCATTGCTGTAAGTCAGAACTGACTCAACAGCACTTAACAACAACACTCCTTAAAACAACTGACTGATGGGTTACTTTGAGAATATATTTAGTGTGCTTTGTGGGAGATTAAATGATATATATAACAGAGACAAGTTTCTGCCATGCTTACAGGTCTAGGCAAGTAGCAAGTTGCTTCTGCTTACACAATGGATATTTTCCAGTAAGTGTGAAGCTAGACATCCTTTCAAAATTATTTCTTGGGAAACTGGAATTTAAGCTCACTTACAGGAATCTGTCTTCTCTTTATTTTACACCTTAATACCAAGAGCAACACCATGCACTTAATGCATGTTCCTGATAGACAATTGGGAGAGCTCTCATCAAAAGCCTCACCAGATTACACTAAAACTTGCTGAGCAAGACACTCTTGTGTGAAAATAAAATGGACATGAAAGGCAGCTGTACTGTAGTTAAAGCACTATAGTACAGTAAGTCCTTTAGCTACCGCATTTAAGAAGACAATGGCTCGCTAATGGTCAATTTCAATGGACTCTTTTCCACTTTTATTTGACCACTCCATGCAGTCATGATAATGTTGAAACTCCTGTTTCATCCTTGGCTTCCGTATTCTTTCCTTCTTGTCTTTTTTCCTACCTATTTGACTACTCCTTCATATTTGCTCCCAGATTCCACTTTCAGACCCTTCTATGTGGCTTTTCCCTAAGGTTGTACTCTTGAGCTTCAGACACATTCTTCAAGAGAAATGAAACCATCTCTATGGTTGCAACAGCCACTTATTTATATATGTCTCTAGCTCACAGGCTCCCTGACAAAGCCAAGTTCTTTCTCAACTTTGCATAGGAATGGCCCTCTCCCTAGAATACTTTCCCATCCCCTCTCCAAGGCTGTTCCCTTTTCATATTCCAGGTCTCAGAGTTACCATGAGAAACCTATCTAATGTACCGCTCACAAATCATCCTACTCTACCTCAGCACCCTGTTTATTTCCTAGACTTTAACATAATTACTAAATATATTCTTGCTTTTTTGTCTCTCCCCTCCTACTAGACTGAAAGTTTCATGAGGGCAGAGACTATGCTTGTTTTCTATCTTCACAAGTGTATATCCAGGACCTAGCACAGTGCCTGATGTTGTTGTTAGGTGACATCGAGTCGGTACTGACTCATAGCGACCCTATGCACAGCAGCATGAAACACTATTGTTGCCACATTTCAGCCCACTGATACTGCCACTTGGCCAATCCATATTGCTGGGGGTCTTCCTTTTTTTCTCTGACCCTCCACCTTATCAAACATGATATCCTTTTCCAGTTATTGGTCCCTCCTGACAATATGTCCGAAGTATGACAGATGAAGTATGGCCATCCTGGCCTCCAAGGAGCACTCTGGCTACACTTCTTCCAACACACATCTGTTGGTTCTTTTGGCAGCCCATGGCACTTTCAATATTCTCCTCCAAAACCATAACTCAAAAGCATCAGTTCTCATACGGTCTTCCTTATTCACTGGCCAGCTTTCATATGCATACGAGGTTACTGAAAATACCATGGGTCAGGCGCACCTTAGTCCTCAAGCTAACATCTTTGCTCTTCAACACTTCAAAACGGTGTTGTACAGCAGATTTGCCTAATGCAATACATCGTTTGATTTCTTGACTGCTGATTCGATGAGTGTTGATAGTTGATCCAAGAAGAATGAAGTCCTTGACAACGTCCATCTTTTCTCCGTTGATAAGAATGTTGTTTATTGGTCTAGTGGTGAGGATGTTTGTTTTCTTTACAATGAGATTCAATCCATACCGAAGGCTGTGTTCTTTAATCTTCATCAGGAAATGTTTTAAGTCGATTGTGTGGATCATGACAAGCTATGGACAACATTGCAAAGTATGAGTATTCCGGAACACTTAATTGTACTCATGAGGAATCTGTACATGGACTAAGACCCAGTTGTTGGAACAGAACATGGGAACACTGAATGGTTTGAAATTAAGAAAGGTGTGTGACAGGGTTGTATTCTTTCACTATACTTATTCAACCTGTATGCTGAGCAAATGATCCGAGAAACTGGGTTCTATGGAGAAAAGCGTGGCATCAGGATTGGAGGAAGACTCATTAACAACTTGCGATATGCAGATGATACAACCTTGCTTGCTGAAAGTGATAGGTGCTCTAAAAATATAGAAGAATGGACACTGACTCTAAATCTAGTACTCCATCTCTCTCCTCCTAGAACAAATACCTGTATATCCAGTTGCCTATCCTAACAACTCTTACTGAATGTCTTATCAACAAAAACAAAACACAGAGTTGAATCTGACTCACAGAGACCCTACAGGGCAGTGTAGAACTACTCCGTAAAGTTTCTGAGACTGTAAATCTTCATGGGAGCAGAGTATCATATTTCTTGGAGTCTCAAACTGCCGACTTTGCAGTTAGCAGTCCAACGCTTAACCAGGGCTTCTGTATTGTTGTTGTGGGTAAGTGCCATGGAGTCACTTCCAGCTCATTGCGACCCTGTATAAGGTTTCTAAGGAGTGGCTGATGAGTTTGAATCCCTGACCTTTTGGTTCAAACTGACCTGATGGTCCAGTGCTTTATCCTACAGTGCCACATCAGGACTATAAGGCACCTTAAATTCAATAGGCCCATAAAACATAACTCGTTAACTTTTACCCCTGTTTTTTCTCTATATTCAGCATTAACTCTCACCTGATGCAAAGTTCAATGACTGAATTGACGATCAACATGTTGTGTTACCTGCTTTTAACTGTCTATCACATCTCCTCTGTCACTACTTCTTGCAGGTCCTCTCATTTCGTTGATTACAACTAGCCTTCTTACTGGTCTCCCTGCCTTTAGTCTTGCCCTCAATCTATGCTCCACACCACTTTTCTATCCCCATAACCACTTCAATCTCTCTTAACAGCAAAGAAATTGTGTTGCTTCCCTGCTGAAGATTGTCCCATGGCTCCCTGATGCTTAAATGAGGAAGCCCACCTCCTAATATGAGTAACGATGATCTGTCCTCATTTACCTCTTTGGTCTCTAGCAATTGCTGAATCCATACTAAAGCTTGGCTGCAAGCTACAGAAAGACTTGAGTTGCTGAATGGGCCACATTGCCATGACATGACTTTCTTCAAGTTGATTCCTCTATTATCTATACCTACTCACTTTTCACATTCAAGGTAAGCTTTATGGAATTGTGGCTAAGTTAGAACATTTCCCCCCTCCTCCTGCCACTCTCGGTTCTCTGTACAGACTTTTATCATAAAGGTACCTGAGCGCATATGTGTGTGTGTGTGTGTGTGTGTGTGTGTGTGTGTGTGCATGCGCCTGTCTCCCTCTACTGGATTAAAGGCCCTTTGTTGTTGTAGTTAAGTGCTGTGGAGTCAGTACTGACCCATAGCGACCCTGTATAGTGTTGGACCTTGCAGTTCAAACCAACTTTGCAATCTAGTGCATTAACCCACAGCGCCACACCAGGACTCCTAGGGAAATATTAAATCTGCTGCCCAAGACCTCTTTAAAGTGTTCAAGAGCATAGATACTGTTTTGAGGACTAAAATGCACCTGACCCAAGCCATAGTATTTTAAATAACCTCATTTGCATGTGAAAGTTCGACAGTGAATAAGGAAGACCATAGGAGAATTGATGCAATTGACTTATGGTGTTGAGGAGAATATTAAAAACACCATGGATTTCCGAAAGAACAAACCAATCTGTGTTGAAAGGCCAGAATGCTCCTTGGAAGCTAAGATAACCAGACTTTGTCTCTCATACTTCAGACATATTATCAGGAGGGACCAGTCCCTGAAGAAGGACATCATGCCTGGTAAAGTGGACAGTCAAAGAAAAAAAGGAAGATCCCCAACGAGATGGACTGACACATGGCAGCAGTAATGGGCTCCTGTGTAGCAATGATTGTGAGGTCGGCACAGGACCGGGCAGTGTTTCGTTCTTTTGTGCATAGATAGGGTCATTATGAGTCAGTACTGACTTGATGGCATCTAACAACAACAACCATATAAATAATGGTGACAGAGAAGTTCTCCATGCTTACTTGGCCAAGGAAACAAATCAATTAATTGAATATGTTGTGCTAGGGTTCTACATAGCAGAGTGGAAGGCCTAGACTGTGCCTTTCCATAATCTCAACTCTGTCTTGGTTCATTATTGTCATTCTTAAGTTTGCAAGTTATAAGAAACAGATCTTTGCTGTTTTAGTCATATTTATTCCTCAAAGCCAAGTTTGAGGTTCCTGTTGAAATGAGGTTAAGTAGTTTGAAAGCTTAGGACCCTTAGGTACAATGAACATAAAAAGGAAGGATTCATTCATTGAATATGTATTGAGCACCTACCATTGGCAAGATATCACACAAGGCTCTGAAGTCATAAAACTGGATTCCTTCTTTCAAGATGAGTATGCAAGAGTGCAGAGTCCTGGTGTGGTGCTGTAGGAAAAGCACTGGACTGCTAACCACAAAGTGGTCAGTTCAAATCTACCAGCCACTCCTCCGAAACCCTAAACAGGGTCGCTGAGTGAGAACTGACACCACAACACTTGGCAGCAACAGTGTGTGAGTGCACTAACAGCTTATAAACCTTTGGCTTCGGAATTCTTTAAGAGAAATCAAAGAAGGAAACACTTGGCTATGGTGGTCATTTGGAAATAGTAATCTTCAAGGGAGCTTTCTGAGAACAGGAAGGTATGACAGGGTCAAATGCACATCACTTTCTGATTTTCGGATATTTTTAGTCACATCAGGCCTTTTCATGCATTTGGTTGTTCTGTCCTAACAAATGAGTCTCTACAAAGGCAATATTTACCATTCCCTTATCTGAGGTTTGTAGCTATCACATTACACCCAGCCTCTGTGTGTGTCTCCTCCCTTTTCCTCCCTTCGTGTCCTGGAATGAACCCATTCGCAGATACAAAGTGTCTTTTCTTACCTTACTAATAAAGGCTCTCAGTGAGGCAAAAACATGTTTCAGCGACACTTCAGACTGTCCATTCTTAAGAAAAGCCAGGTGAATATCAAACACTTTTTTCATTAATGGATTGTGGCCATCATTATTTAAAAGCTGGCTCTATAAAACATGGGTAAAAACAACATTTTAAACAAATTCTTTGCTTACTTCTTCCCTTCATCCCTTATGCTATAATGAGAGAACCAACTTCACTGATATCAAAGGACTCAAGAAGTTTCTAAAATATAAACTGCTTTGACTAGAAATTTTATCTTCTTTTAATTTGGAAATCTCAAAATAGCCCATAAACTGCATCTAGAATATGGAATCCCACCATTCTAAACAGGAAAACAAAAAATTTTCGAATGCAACATGGCAAACACACAACTAGTACAGTGGTAGTTGGTGGTTGTAAGCACTGTTGAGTCTGTTCCAACTTGTTTGCGAGCCAGGAATAGGATTTCTGAGGCTGTAAATCTTTATCGGAGCAGAAAGCCTCATCTTTTTCCTGTGGATTGACTGGTGGACTCAAACTGCTGACCTTGTGGCTTACAACCCAACTTTGAACCATTATGCTACCTTCAGAATGACTATAGGAAGAATATTTTCTATTAATCAACCCATGCTGCTTCTCAAAGAGGCCTAGAGTGAGGCGTCCAGCTGATAAGAAGAGAGGGCATATGCGTAAGAACATCCACACTTGCAGATAATACCCACTTGACCTGGCTTCAATGACTGGATGATCAGAGCTCAACTAGAAGAAGAAAGAAGAGGAAAAAAAAGAGTAATCGGATACAATTTGATGAACCTGACCTACACCTATGGATGCAGTAGCTCAAAAGAGAGAACAAATCTTTACAGAGAGGATCATTCCCACCCCCTCCATCTGACTGAGTAGACAGGGATGGGCAACCTGGACATTGGCTACCCAAAATTGGGGGGAGGGGTGGGAGCAAGAATTGACTGGCTTACAAGCTTTCAAGAGGGAACCTAGATCCAGAGGGCATGGAGGAAGGTAGAATCTCCACTTAGTAGTATCCAATCTGTCTAGGCGGGGCTGATGAAAGGAGATGTGCACAGGTCTCTTATGATACAATAGTGAATAACTGTTATAAGGATTGATTGTGAGGGCTGGAAATGTAAAGGTAGACATTTTGTATCAAGGAGGGGAGTGATTAACTTTGCAGTCTAGGAGTGGAGGCACCTGGGGCCATCAAGGGAGAAGAGCAGAGAGCCGGACACTACCCAGAGAAGCAGTGATGCCAGAGACGGAAGCAGAGATGACTTGGAGAGATGGTGTGGCCGGGGACTCTAAACGCAGAGAGGGAGAGGGGCTGGGTGTTGATGACCGGGAGGCAGGCTTGCAAAATATACCCTTTGGTTGGTTGATGATGCATGGAGGGGATTGTAACCATGGTAATGAAATGAAATACGATAGCATGAATGTAAAGGTAATATTCTCCCATGTAAACTATCACATAATTCCCAATAAAACAGTAAAAAACCGGACTTTGTTAAAGGAAATACCAATTCTATTATAAAAACCTATCATCTAATTTGTTTTAAAATATGTTTAAAAGAAGACATGCTTTTGGTGATAAAATAACTCTCTGTTGTTGTTGTTGTTGTTGTTGTTGTTGTTGTTAGGTGCCATTGAGTCGGTACCAACTCATAGTGACCCTATGCACAACAGAATGAAACACTGCCCGGTCCTGGGCCAAACTCACAAAATACTCTGTGAGTAGAGAGAAGGAACTCTGGTGCAGTGATTAAAGCAGTTAGCTGCTAACCAAAAGATTGGTAGCTCAAATCCACCAGTTGCTCTACAGGAGAAAGATGTGGCAGTCTGCTTCCATACAGATTTATAGCCTCAGACACTATGTGGGACAGTTGTACTCAGAGTCCAAATTGACTCCACAGCAGTAGGATTTTGGTTTTGTTGAGTAGACATGATAGGAATTATCACAATTCAACAGACTGTATAAACTGTTAAATGCCCTGTGCAAGGAAACAAAAGACGATGTACAAAAATATCTATTGGTTTGTGAGCCTTTTTATTCAGAAAGCATTGATTACACTACATCAATTTACAATGTACTATAACTTCAATTACATTGTAAACTTGTTTCTTGTACTATCTTCCAACCTTACCCTCCTACTCTTCAGGAAGCTAATGATCATGTTACAATTTGACAAAAAGCAACAAAGAAAAACCTTAAAACTATAAATGACCAAAATGATATGTGAAGTATGGTATGGGGCAGTCACAAAAGGAATCCCTGCATGGCATTTTCTTCTGTGGGGAATGAGAAGTCAAATTGAGGCAACTGTGCCTAAAGAGTCCATGTTATACTATGCTTAGAAGCATAGAAAGAAAAAAGACAAAAAATGTTAACCTCCTTGTGAGTCTCAGCTTACAAAAAAATATTAACCTCCCTTAAAGTCTCACTTTCCTGATTTCAAATGGGAATGATAACAGTGCTCACCATATAGGGCTATTGTAAGGACTGTGCTCAGTTGTGTGTTTTTTAACAACTTTACTGAGGTCTAAAAGGAGCTCTGGTTACAAATCGGGCTGCTAGTCTCATGGTCAGCAGTTGGAAATTACCTAGGATAGTGCCTGACATACACTGGTGGTGGTGGTTACGTGCCGTGGAGTCGGTTCTGACTCACAGCGACCCTGTACAGGGTTTCTGAGGCTGTAAATCTTTATGGGAGGAGAACGCCTCATATTTCTCCCGTGGAACAGCTCGTAGTTTCGAACTGCTGACCTTGTGGTTTGCAGCCCGATTCGTAACCACTACGCTACGGGAGCTCCAGAGATATATAAATGTTTGTTAAATAATAATATCAGAATTGGAGTCACGAGACCAAATGTCCTTATTTATTGGCATGATGAAAGATGAACTCATGTTGCATTTTAATCGGAACAAGCTTCATAAAGGGATTCTGCAGCCAATTTCTTATTAGCAACCAATTTGATTTTCTCTTCTAGTTCTCTATGAAAAACACAGGCTAGGTTTCCATAGTAAATCTGGAGCGCTGAGGCAATTAATTGAATTACTAAGAGAGGGAGAAAAAGTGATCAAATTCAGACAAAAGCTAGCATGATTTTTCACTTTTGCGTTCTCTCATTGTTATCTTACGTTATATAGCCATGTCATTTTTACTTTTCAAAGCACTCTCATATCCATGGTCTTATTTTACCCCTCCAACAATTCTGCACAATAATTGTTTAGACCTTTTTTTCTTTTTAAATTTTGGAAATAATGATTCACATTGAGAAGCAAACATCTGAGAAACATCCTAAGGACCTGACTAGGAAATCAGCCAGTCTGCCTGGACATTATCTAGCCTGACAAGATACACCTCATTAGAACAGGTATTTAGGCAAACTGGTCCAGTCATATTTTGGCTTAAAAGACGATTGGAGAGTTTCATAAAATGATAAACATAAAAAGTTAAGATCTGTTCTTAAACATGAAAATAAAAGCATAGAATTTAAGAGGTAAAAGGGAGTTTAAGGACACAAATTAGTCCACATTTAATAAATGTGGCAAGTAAGTCTCAAGGACTTTCAATGACTCACCCAAGTCCCCCAACTATATTGCCTTTACCTTAAGTTTTGAATTCTGACCCTTCATTTTTACCTTGAAGCACTGGGTGAAAAAAGATATGGTGTCTAGCACTGTTAGGGAAACCTCAGTAGCAGTGTTGCCTTCAAGAAGTGCCTGGTGGAAAATATCTGCTTCCGTTGTTGCAGAACCTAGGATTGAAAAAAGTAAATGAAAATTTTGCCCCAGATTCATGTGATAGTTTTGAACATTCCCTGCCAACAAAGACCCAAAGAGATAAGCTAGAAGGAAGGAGACACTCTCAATACCCACAGCTCTAATGAGTTTCTCTGTCTTCATCTGTTAATCAAAGGTGGTTAATCAATTCTACTAATTTCCACTTCAGTTCTGCATCAATAGCTCTCTAGAACACATGAGGTGCCCACTTTTCAGTGATAAACTAGGAAATAATGTGTGAAGGATTTTAGCCAGTGACACTAAGCCTGTGTGCAAAAAATGGGAAACTCAGCTACACTACATACAGTACCGTGAGGGCAGTGGAGGTCCAGTTGGTTTGAGCCACAAGGTCAGTGGTTCAAGCACACCAGTTGATCCTCTGAAACCCTACACAGGGTCACTATGGGTTCAGAACTGACTCAACGGCACTTCACAACAAAGGGAAGTAGATTTATGATACTATTATATGTTTTTACCAGTGAGGGGGCCCAAAGCTGAAGACTGTAAAGCTTTTTTGTTTTGTTTTGTTTTTAAAGAGATCCTAAATCTCTTAGCTCATTTGCTCAAGATGTTTGTTTTTAGTATTACTCTCTACTGCAAAGCAAGTTTTGCTGGTTCCCCTGTTTGCAACTTCTAGAGGAATTTATGGAAATGAATGTTTTCTTACTCTTTTGAGTTCTTATTAATATTTGCTTTTCAGAGCTTTCATTTATGTAACCCTTAAGCTTTCCCAGCTAAGCAAAGTTTCTCTCCTTGTTCTGTTTGCCTTTTCAAGACTTGAATCTGCTTGAAATGTACCTTTGCCAAAACAGTACTTAAAATGCATGAATCTCTGAAATCGGTGCAGCATGTTCACTGAACTAACTGCAGGAAAAAGATGAGGATCCCTGCTCCCATGAAAATTTAGTCTCAGATGGTGGCATGGAGAGAGAAAGCAACTGAGGACTCTGGGCCCAAGGACTGAGAAAGGCTGTGTGCCTGCAGGCAGGAGGCTGGCTTTTAAAATGTGCCCTTTGAATATTTAAATGAATATATATTTTTTGTTTTATATGTGTTGTATATCAAACATTTTTGCTTTGTTCATCTGTGAAAAATAAGATGTAAAAGGGAAGCCACAGGGTGGAAGCAGGGTAACTGTTGTTGCAGGCTGGTGGGGGTGGTGGGTTGTGAATCGGTTCGACTCATAGCGACCCTGCATAGGGTTTTGTTTGTTTGTTTGTTTGAAGTTTTTATTGTGAATTGTGTGAAAGTTTACAGGGAAGATCATCAGTTTTACATTTAACAGATCATACATCTTGTTTCATTACAACGATTATAATCCCCTCCATGACACCATCGGATAACAGTATTTCTCTCTCTACTTTAGCTCTTTAAAAACAAAACTAAACAAAAAACACTCAGGCATATATAATAATTTACACCACCAAAGGGCACATTCTGCAAGTCTGCCTCCTGGCCACCAGCTCTCAGTCCCTCCCTTCCCATGAATCTAGAGTCCTCAGCAGCTCCCCCTCTCCATGTCCCCATCTCTGCCTCCATCTCTGGTGTCACTGCTTCTCTGGATAAGGTCTTGCATTCCGCTTGTGCTCTTCTCCCTTGATGGTCCTAGGGTCCTTTGTTTCTGGACTGTAAGATTAACCACTTGCACGTTTTTGTTACAAAACTGCTCCCTTTACAACTGTGACAGTCCCAATTAGTCATGATAACAATTACTATTGAATCATAAGACTCTTATCCCCATCTTTTTTCACCAGACCCATCTAGACCAGATGAGAACTATTCAGTGGGGACACTTTCTTCCCCCACACACTCTTAAACTAAACTCCCTCTTGAAACCTTGTAAGCCAATCACTTTGTGCCTTTATCACCCCCTCATTTTAGGTAGCTAATGTCTAAATTGCCCGTCCCTATCTACTCTGTGTACAGAGGGGATAGCACTGACACTTGATGTGAAGACTCCATCTCTCTCTGCTGGTATTTAGAGTTACTACCTCAATGAGTATAGGTCAAGTTCATTAAATTGTAGCAATTTACCCATGTTTCCTTTATCAAAAAAAAAAATTTTTTTTTTTTTAAATCTTCCTCTAGTTGAGTTCTGATTATCAAGCCATCGAGGCTAGGTCAAATGGGTACTATCTGCAAGTTTGGGTGTTCTTGTGCATCTCCCCTTACTTCATATCAGCTGGAGGCTTCACTCTCAGCTCTAGCCCTCTTTAGCTATGTCCTTGTCCATGGGCTCAGGTGTCCCTCGGTCTCACCACACTTTGGACCAACCAGCCCTTTCTCTTCTCTCTCTCATCTCCAGGTCAACAGGAGTCAATGGACTGTGGTTGAACTCAGCCCATTTCTTCATTGCTGCCTTTCCCCCTCTTCCACTCACCAGTAGACCAATGTGGTCGCCAGCAAGCTTACGTGCCTGTTCGTGTGTTTCCTCTAAGCTTCAGTCTTAGAGGGGCTGTATAGGGTTTTGAGACTGTAAATCTTTTACAGGAGCAGAAAGCCTCATCTTTCTCCCTTGGAATGGCTGGTAGTTTCAAACTGCTGACCTTGAGGTTAGCAGCTCAACTCATAACCACTACACTATCAGAGCTCCTTGCTGTTTATAGGGAGGGGAGGGTAATCATTGAGATGAAACAAAGTGCATGATTGGTTGAAAGTACAGCTGATGATCTTGTCTATTTACCTTCACTCAATTCACAATAAAAAGTTATAAAAAAAATTTTTTTTTAGTCTGAGCTACCTAAAACAGGGTTGATACGATTTCAAACTGACTTCATGTCAATAGGTTTAAAAATTACATTAAGTGTGCCATTATTTGGAGTCCTGGTGTGGTACTATAGGATAAGCACTGAACTGCTAACTGCAAGATCTGCAGTTCAAACCCAGCACTCCGCGGGAGAAAGAGAAGGCTTTCTGCACCAGTAAAGACGTACAGCCTCAGAACCTTAGGAATGCTAGGAGTCCGAATACACTCGCTAACAGGGAGTTTGAGTTTTTAAGCATGCTGTTATTTGCATTAAAGTTTATCAGTAAGAATGAAGGATGACCAATAGTAAATAATATTATAAAACCAGCAATTTTAAATACTGAGCAAAGAAAAAAAGCACCTGAAAATTGCTGAAAATTTATCTAAGATTGTTGAAAACCCCATGTCTGTTTCATTGTTACCCATAGATGATAAAATGATTTTATAAAAAAACATAGCTGAGATAGACAAATATGGTTATGTATGTGAAATTCTTTCCAGGCGCATTTGATTGAAACCAGGCCTTCTTTAAGGTTAAATAGCATTTACATGACTGTTTCAAATAGGTGCCCTACACACATTTTCACTTACTGTGATTAAGTGTAAAAGAACTTTCCAGGCTACTTAGATGCTGAAGTCGGGCTTGCATTACTTCTGATCTGTTTCGTAGAGCAGGCATAGTTTGAGATTTTCGGTCTATTCCCAAGTGTTTAGATAGCCAGGCATCATGCACCCTGCAACAAGCACTAAAGTTAGGGAATGGAGTGCTCCAATAATGTATCTCAATATTAGGTCCTTTGAAAGAGATTCCCACTTTTCTTCTACTTAATGAACATCAGAGTTAAATGGATAACAGGCCAATAAAATACAGCCTTTTCACAGGGCGTGAGGAAGGGCAAGAGTCAGAGAAGACAGTGAGAAGGAGATTCAGTGTCGAAATGAGGTGGAAAAAACCTCCAGAGTTAGGTGTTCAAGAATAGGTGCCAACTGGTGTGGTGCTATAAGATAAACACTGGACTGCTAACCACAAGATCAACAATTCAAACCCAGCATCTGCTCTCAGAAACCCTATACAGAGTCGCTATGAGTTGGAACCAACTTGATGGCACACACCACCACCACCACCAGCAGCAAGCACCTTTAAACCCCTTTCTAGGACTTCTTTAAAGTATAAGATCTTATCCCAGCAGGATCAAGAATTTGTTAAATTACTTCAAATTCATGTTATATAGAGATTTTCTAAAGTAAAATATTTTGCCAGAATTAGAATCTATGTATATGTCATCCTTAAAATGAGTCACCACCACCAATTAATCAGGAAATAAAAATCAGTTTCGGAAGCTTAAAAAAAAAAAAAAAAAAGAACAGGTGCCAATCCAGTCTCTTCCTGGGCTTGAGTTAAATTTGGATTTGAAGTTTTTACTCTGTACACATGTCTATCTTTTCAGATTTACAAACTTTTCTTTATTTAAGTTAAGACCCCAATTTTAAAACTTACAACCGAATCTTACATGAACTAAGAAGAGTTTGTCCTCTAGTAAACACAGGAACATGGTGAGTAGAATCCTAGCAGCTAAGCCTCATGGTAACAGTGCCCATACTGGCTCCAAGCTATGAGAGGAAAGAGTAGAATTTGGAACCCTCTTCATCTCAAGCACCTATTATGGGATGTTCTAGAGACAAAGCAAGAAATTCTATCCAAATAGCCTCTTTAATTTTTGGAGGTGCCATGAAATTTAACTTTAACAACAGCAACAACTATTTTGGAGTTACCTGACTCTACTCTAAAATAAATTCTATTGAAACAAGTAACTTTAGCCTTAAACAAACATATCAACCCACTTCCATTGAATCGATTCCAACTCATAGTGACCTTAAATAGGATTTCTGAGACTGTAAATTTTTATGGGAGCAGACAGCCTCATCTTTCTCCCATGGAGAAGCTCCATTGAGAAGAAACTGGTGGGTTTGAACTTGAGGTTTGCTAGCCTTGATGTTAGCTCCCCACAGCACCACCAGGGTCCCCTCAAACATTTCTTTAGCTATTTCTTTCACTATGACTTAAATGGCAAAAAGAAAAAGAAAGAAAGAAAGACTGTCTGATGTGTCTCCCAATCACTACTGGGAATTACTAGTTACCTTAGTAACGGAGTTGAGTATTTTTAGATTGTAGACAAAGGTACCGACCTCACAATTGTCCTATTTTATAGATTCCTGCTCTCCCCTGGATCTTGCTTGCCCTTTCTCACATCCTTCAGAAAAGACAAACATCTGTTCCAGGGTTAGTGAGATCTCATAAGATAGAAATTCTGCATATCAGTCTAATCATTACTTCTTGGAAAACTTAAAAAAATATTAAGCTCATATTGATTTAATTTAAACTTTGTGTTGGGACATGTTTAAAAAAACAACATGAATGTCTTAATATTTAGTCAGTTGATACTTTATGCAAAATTTCAAAAGACTGTAAAAAAATGTTTAGGCATTGATGATCCTGGGTTTTATTTATGGTTAAGATTGCCCTCTGTTGGAAGAGCAGGGAAAAACAGAATATTGCAATACTATGGAAATTACCTTGCTATGTTTCTTTTCCCCATATATCTAAATTGAAACAAACATACTCTAGAAAGAAAAAGACAATATCATGTCAGTAACATTTTACCATCATTCCACAATGTAACAAGTAATATTTGATAAATCGTGAGTTACAAAGAAAGACTTATTCAAGTCATATTATAATAATATGCTCTGGCATAAATAGACACATAACTACTTGCAAATTTGCCACATTACATCTTCCTGCATTTATTTGCTACAATTACATCAGCACTAGAAAATTACATTTCTTAATATTCCATTCCAATGACAAATTAAAAAAAAAAAACTGCCAATGTACAATCGTTCTTTGTGCTAACATATATACACACAGGTCTTGAGCATTGTCATTAGTGCCTAAAAAAGGTTCTTAAACTTTTAAAATTGGGGCAATTACAGTATTTTTTTCCTGATGGCATTAAAGCACTTTCTATTATCAAAAATTTCCAACATAATAAAGTCGAGGTGAATAGTATAATAAACACCATGTATCCGTCACCTACCAGATTCTACAATTACCAACTCATTACCATTCTCGCTTAATCTCTAACCCTCAACAGGTCTCCTGATCTCCCCACACCCCCCATTCCCCATTTCCTGTATGTTTTGATGCAAATCCCCAACATCATATATTTTCACCACTAAGTATTTCAGTATAATTACAATAGATTTTTTTTTTATCTCAAAAACAGCTATTTAGTCTGCTTAGATTTTCTGTAGAATTTTGAGGCTTTAATCAATCATTTATGGGTTGAGAATTCTCTTTTGGCAGATGTGCACATAATACATTATATAGGTGTGTTGTTTAGTAAAAAAAAAAAATTCTTACATATTTTCAATCTAATTTTTCTTTAAGCTTTGATTAATGATGTAAAACAGGCTCAGCATATGTACAGGGCAGCTTCCCAACCCAAGTGGTTTTGAATGGAGATACATTTATACATGTATACATATACAAGGGGGCTTCAAACATTTTATGGAAGAATTCCATTATCTTTTCATCATTTCATTTTTCCACAAACTTTTTGAGGCCCCTCCCCCCACCACACCCCCGCATATATCTGGGTTATCAGACTTTCAAAACAACTCCTATCTGTCCTTTAATATAAATTTGAAAAGACGGAAACAATCCCTAATTGCAACAAATTCTTCAGCACAATCAATTTCACTTGCTGCATATGCAGCTTTTAAATAATTGAATAGGCATCCAGTCTTTTCTTGCACCAAAGGCAGGCTACGTAATTAACTGTATGCATCTGTTCAGATTCACCTACAAATTCTACTTAAAGACAAACACACAGTTAGGCATGGATCCCAGAAGTTAGGCATGGATCCCAGTTGCAACCTGAGGGCTGTCTGTATACGCATTTCTGACTCGAGCAGAATGACTTAACTCTACAGAACAGTACAAATTCTAAATTCCAATAATTTAGGCTGCTCATTAATCCACCATTTGCTTCCAATGAATGACTTTGGACACTGGTGCCACTTCTAGTTTTCCAGATCACAGAAAAACTGGTGAGCTGTAAATACTGTCAATTATTAGCTAGTTTTCTGTAATATTGGAAATATTTCAGCCACATTAAAAAAAAAAAAATCCCTACATGTGAAGAACATCTATGTCAGCCTTTATATGATGTCTTATCAAATTACAGAATTAAAAATTCTGACATTCTTAGCAAATAAGTTATTTAAAAAGAAAAACGACGATATTTTATCTTATTCAGAAATTAAGCTTCTTCAAGTAAGGGGGAGTTTATGAAAATAAGTTAATATAACTTACTCTAGAAGTATGAGAATGTTTATGAGCTCTTGAGGAGATACTTTATTCCAGTAAGTTAAGAGGGTATCTGCAAATGGAATAAATAAAGTGTCAGATCTTGAAATAATTGGAGTAAATTCCAGTATACCCCCAAGTACCATAACACAGCTTCAACAACCATCATCGGCCAATCTTCTTTCATGCACACGCTCCTCTTCCCTCCCACTGCCCAATACATAACCTAAATTGTTTTCAATGAATGCCAACTATATTGCTCAATCTGGGATTCTTTCAGCTTCAACAATTGTTTTTATTTACTTTGCAAATGTTCCTTGGATGGCTTCTCTTGATCTTCATATCATCCCTGAAGACAGAGGAAGTGAAGCTGGTGCATTTTTATTTTAGATCTGGGCCGTTTATTGTACTTCTTGAAATTTTATGCAAGACGGTGCATTTATGTTCATTTTTCTGAGGAGAGTTAAGTTTAAGAGTCTTTGCCTGCTATCCACCAAAGGGATTTGTGAACCAAAAAGTTTAAGAATTTCTACTTTAGAGAAAGAAATGGATACTTTTCATCCCTCCAAGCTTTATCTTTGTGTGTGTGTGTGAATAGCAGTGGCTTCCTTGTTCTTTTTAATAGCACATTTCTGCACCCACCCCCCCCCACCCTAACCCTCACCCTCACCCCCACGGATGGGTGTGTAGGTTACTTCTAGTGTTTTCATTGTTACCAGTGGTGCTGCTGTGGATAATCTTCTATGTCCATCTTACCACCCATGTGTGAGCACCTCAAGGGGGAACTTCCTGAAGCTGAAAAGCTAGGGCTAAAGTACCTTACAACTTTGGCCTCTTTGTAGTATAAAAGTTTGCCATAATTTGAAACTATCTGTTGTTGTTGTTATGTGCTGCGGAGTCGGTTCCGACTCACAGCGACCCGGTACAGGGTTTTCAAGGCTATAAATCTTTACTGGAGCAGAAAGCCTCATCTTTCTCCCGCGGAGCAGCTGGTAGTTACTAACTGCTGATTCGTAGCCACTACGCTACAAGAGCTCCTTGAAACTATCTAGGTGGCAATAAATCTCTAAAGAGATTGTTACAGTTTGTACTCTACCAGCACACACTTTACTTTTGGATGATAAATGATGAAGGCCTGGCACAATGTACTATATACAATGGGTGTCCCTATATTTGGGTATTATAGGCTCTTAGTAGCTGTGTAACAAAGATCACCTTGTGATTGAACAGTGTATTGCAAATGAGACCGCACCGTTACTCCAATGGTCTACTGGGAGAGAAAAAAAATTCAAACCGGAAAATCTGGTCTAGCAAAGGATTTAAAAATAAAAATCTATCTCAACAATATCAATTAAATATCTTTAATTCTACCTTCGATAGCATAGTGAATTTTAAGCTTTCCTGTTCTTATTTTCCTATTTACTTTCTATAAAATTGTTAGCAAAATCGAGTTTATCTCTGATCTGAGATGTCTTTCTGCTTCTATATATTTCATTTTTATTGTTTCTCGAGACTAAGCTAAATCAGGTAAACCTTTGTTAATTTAAGTGTTACAATAATCTGCCTCTCGTAGACCGCAAAATAAGCAATGAGTAAAATAAAATGGTAATACTTAGAATAAGCCATGAACTGCAAGGTTGGTTTGAACCACAAGGCCAGCAGTTCAAACCCACCAGCCACTTTTCAGAAACCTTGTACAGGGTCGCTATGAGTCAGAACCGACTCGGTGGCATTTAACAACAACAATCTCTGATACAAAAGTTTAATTGTATTTTTGTCTCCCCTGTCGCAACACACCCACTTAATGAGATAAAGAAAAAAACCGCAAAAATCTTAATGCCACTCAACTTTACACTCACTTTTTAAAAACCCTACGTTGATACAGCTACTAGTACCAGCAGACCCTTCTCTAAAAGTTAGAAATGCATGTTGTTGTTGTTTAGTGCCATGGAGTTGGTTTTGACTCATAGTGACCCTGTACAGGGTTTTTGGGGAGCAGCTAGTGGAACTGAACCTTGCGCCATCAAGTCCGATCTGACTCATAGCGAACCTATAAAGTGTTTCTGGGGCTTTAAAAATCTTTGCGGGCGCAGAAGGGCTCATTTTCCTCCCGCAGAGAGGCTGGTAGGTTCGAACCGTGGACCTTGTGGTTCACAGTCCACCTATCAGATGGAGCCACCTCACCCCCCAGCGCTTTTCCAGCAGCGCCAGGAAAAAAGTTAGGGCCACAGGAAGACAAGAATGGACCAGTCGACAACGTTGGCTGAGTGGGGGTGTTGTGGAGTAGCAAAGCTTTTTCTTAGCTATTTTCAATTGTTTGTAAGGACAATGAATATTGATAGCATTTGATGATTACAAAATATTAATCATCAAGAACAAAACTGTTCAAATAAAGCCAGGTTTACATATATATATATATATAAAATTAAATTAAGCTGGAGGTGACTTCTGGTATCCCCTCTGTTTTGAGATTCCTTTCTCCCAACCAGAAAGCTCTCCCAGAAGGCAATGGGTTTCCCGAGTGGGGCAGTTTGGCGGTGCTGTCGCTCTCCCATTCCCACCAGATTCTGCCTGCTCTTCCCACAAAAAAAACAGTGCCTCCTTCCAACCAAAAAGTTGAGGCTTTATATTAACTCCTGAACTTCCCAGTCAACTTCTCAAAAGGTCTCTTAAAAGTGTGTAAGAGCAAGTCCGGGCCACGGTTTTTGGATTAGTCAGCTGGCGACGGCACCGCCGCCGCCATTTTCTTAGTGCTGCTGAGCCAGTGAGGTGTCTCAACTTCAGAGAGACAGGATGCAGGCCGGAAATATGGGCGGGGAAGATGGGATGTTGGTTAAAGATGTGTCACAGTCGAGTATACATGATTTGTCATTTTCCGAATTTGACAGTGCCTGGCTCACACTAAAAGAGCTCCATGATAAAGAGGTACACAGTTTACAGGCAAAGTTAGCGAGTCTGAGGAAAGAGCGGCGGGCCAAGGAAAGACGGTCTGGCACAAAGGCCAAAATTCAGGAGCTGACTGAACAACAGAAAGTTCTCAGTGACACCATTAACGACTTGAAAGACCAGTTAAACTCAAAAACCTGCAGTCACTATTCAGTTAATGACGGATACTATCGTGGGCTACGACATGACTTTTATGAAACCCAGCAAGATAATCTACAGCTTATTGCTAAACTCAAAAGGGAAAATAAGAAGTTAAAATCACAAAATAAAATACTTTGTGAAAAACTGAACCCAAGACCAGAGTTATTCTGTGCTTCCTTTTCTGACAGTGACAACGACGGCAACAACGTTTTTCTTTCTAATCAAAAGATAGCCTATACTGTCAAGGAACCTCCACCAGGCGCATACATGCGTATGACTAAGAAACAGGCGGTGCCATCACGTATTGAATTGGTCACCTCACCAGAAACAAATGAACCAAAACAAAGTTCAAAGAAGAACACTGAGGTGCCAGAGACCTCTGAGAAAACTTCTAATGCCAGCAAACGTAGTACCGAAGGCAAAACTGACCATACTTCACCTGCAGGACCTTCCTGTGGGTCTTCATTTGATCCTGAAAAGTGGCCTGGAGGTGACGATAATACAAACCTTCCTGAAAGCCAGCTTGGCGGGTCAAAGAAGAAACTTGAAAGAAAGTCCACACAAAGATGTAAAACTATGCTTGACTTGTCTTGGAGCACTTCCAGTGTTTCTTCAGAAGAAAACCAGAAGGCTCCTTTAGTATATGAAACTTCAGAGGAAAATATGCCTGGTTATAACCCAAACCCAGAAAGCTCTTCAAAGAAGAAAAAGCCCCCAATGAAGGTATTTCCTTATGATTATACTTCCACATCTGCTAGGAAAAGGTCATCTAGGTTCGCTCATTCTAACATTGGGATTGGAGCGAGAGAAGTCAATTTCCCGAAATCCACTGGTACAGAGTATGCTACAGATAAACCTCCGCTGAAGAGAAAAGCCATGACCCAGCTAGAAAAAAAAGAAAAAGCAACTTTCTCTCATCATTACTCTTGAGAAAAAAAAAAATTCTTGAGTACAGACTCTCTGCCAACTCAGACTGTAAAACCAATAGCCCATGACTCTGATTCCTTTTTCAAGATATAATAAGGCAGGAAGTAAAGCCTAAAAAAGGCAAATGACTGACTTTAAGACAGGAAATTGTTACCAATAAAAAAAAAACAACAACACAAAAACCAACAACCATAGAAAAGAAAATTGAACCTTCAGTACTCCTCTGTTGTTATTGTTGTTAAGTGCTGTGAAGTCTGACCTGTAACGACCTTGTATGGGTTTCTGAAGAGCGGCTGTTAAGCTTGAACCACTGACCTTGCGGATCAAACTGACTTTGCAGTCCAACGCATTAACCCGCAGCATCACACCAGGACTCCTCTATCAAGGAGTTCCTCTACTTCCATAAAAAAATGTAGAGGACCATCTTTTTGTTGACATTCATGTTGCTACCGTGTATGAACGAATGAAAAAGAACACCAAGAGAGGACACTTAAGGGTATGAACTGGAATGAGTTCAACATTTAAACCCAAAGACAGTGAAAATAATTACTGGACAAGACAAAGTAACTGGAATTCAACTATTGAATATAGATCCAGAAACAGACTTTTCTTCTCAGAATTAATTATGACTTTACAGTTACCATATTGCATGGCTTTCTACTTACAAAGGATAAAGAGATATGACAGACTCTATACTGGTTATTGAAAATGTGTTTTAAAAAAAGGCAAAAGAAAGAAAAACCTAATTAACAAACACCAATTATTTGGCAAAGAGTACCAACTCCTAAGGAAGCAAGGCCAACATTTAATATGAAGAGAAGAAACTACCAAGTGTGCAAAAAAACCAAAACAGTTAACTTGTTTATTTTTCAAAAAGCAGTCATTTTTCACTGAGTTTGCATGGTATGTATGCTTGTGGAGGAGGGGCAAACTAGTCAGCCATGACTCTTATCTCCCTTATTTCTTCTCTTCTCCTTCCTACTTTTCCTGAACAGTTCTATTTTATTTTTTTGACATGTCTTATCTTTTTAAAAGCAAGTTTATTGATAGAATTCATATACCTAAAATTAACTGAGTTAAATAGTACACAATTCAGTAGTCTATAGTATACTCAAAAAGGTGTAAAACCATCACAATAGTTACCTAGCTGTTAATTTCTTTTGATGTTTATCTAAATCGCTACCAACGTAATGTTTTTATGTTGCATCATTATAAACGACTTAAAAGTAGGCAATATTTTTTAGTAAATAAGAAAAAACAATGATTTTCTTCTGCTTTGGTTAAGTTACTGTATATTGATTAGATCTGTTGCTCTACACATGTAATTTTTTTCTTTTTTAATTTTGTGGTTTTTAATGGGGTGCTTTAAGCATTGTATTTGCAGAGAAGTGATCATTGGAAAAAATGGGATAAAACTAGGAGAGGCTCTAGGGCACAGATAGAGGGCGTGGCTTTAACTGGACTGTTTTAATCACATCTCCATTGTCAGGACAATGTGCTCACTGCCTCTTCTCTTCCTCTAGGTCTCTTCTGGATCAGCTGAGAAAACTCCAGGCCACGGTGATCCAGATGAGCAGCCAAATCACCAGTGGCAGCACCTGTGGCCTGGTGAGGCTGCTGGAAGAAGACCCTTTCTTTGTTTCTTTGTTGAAACCTTTCTTTAGGCTAGACATGTAATTTTTTGTGTTCAGTAGATAGGACAGTTACCAAGTTATTAAAAATGAAAACAAAACAAAACAAAACAAAAAACACACACAACAAAAAAAACACAAAAAAGCACGAAACACAAAATAAAAAACAAAACACGAAATACAAAAACACACCAAAAAAACCCAAAATCAACAAAAAGACACACACACAAAAAAAAACAAAAAACAACAAAGCACACAAAACAAAAACAACACAAAAACAAAAACACACCCAAAAAACACACAAAACAAACACAAATGACAAAAACACACAAAAAATAACAATAATGATTCTGATAAAAACCCAGGTAATTATTTATGTTCTTCATTCTACCATACATTTTCTTAGAAAAGATGTGCAGTGAAGAAAATCCTTCAGTTATATTCCATCATAATGTAGAGGGGAACTAGTCACACTAAGAAATTACAGTGTTTCGACAGAAGCCTGTCCAGGAACCTGACAAGCACACAATGCCATACAGTGCAAATGTAATGACAACACTGGCATTCCTACCCTCAGAGCATCCTTCTTGACTTTTTGTTTCTGATTTTCTAAATCCTGGGTCAAATAAAAATTCAAAGTATTCAATATGATTTCTGCTTCTTGTTTCCTTTTGTGTATATTGGTCATTTAATGTATTATACGCTCTGCATTGAAAAAAATGTTTAGTGTATTTACTGCCTCATTTAAAAATTCATTTGTAAAATCATTTTAAAATTATTTCAGAGAGTCAAGCCTTATTCAGACTGAAATGAATCTATTTTGTTATAATAGAGGAACATTTTGACATCAAAGTTTTCAAAGATTTGTTTCTAATGTGCATTTGGCTCCATATAACAAAACCCCAAAGTCATTTTGGTTGAGTATATTCCAACTCACATTGACCTTATCAGCCAGAGCAGAAGTGTCCCATAGGGTTTCCAAGGCTATAAATCTTTTAAAGAAGCACACTGCTACATGGCTGGTGGGTTCAAACCACCAACCTTTTGGCCAGCAGCCAAGCACTTAACTACTGCACCATTAGGACTCCTGGCTCTGCATACAATGATGGTCAAATACTTGTTCCAAGAACCTGAAAATCTAGAAAGCTAACATCTTAATAGAGGCCATGCTCAGTAAGATTGGTAACTAACCTTCAGAAATCATTTTTACAATGTACAGGTGGCACATCAGGAGGCTTCTGATTTCATATTGATCCAGCCTGTTATAATGGGATACACTACTCCTTGTAGAACTCTGTCGAGTCTGCAATATAAAAACAGGGCACTTTTGTGAAATGATAGGAAATCAAAACCAAACCAAACCTGTTGCTGCTGAGTTGGTTTTGACTCACAGTAACTCTAATAGCACTACAATTTTCCATGGCCTTTAAATCAGTAACACTTTTTATCATTAGTCCTCTTTGGGAGAATTCTAAGCATCAACCTAAATTTCATGTCATACCTAGACGGAAATGGGCTCTTTGTTGCTAATGTATCTATACATACTACATAGACATTACAGAGTATCACTGGGAATCACCTTGGGTGATCTTCATCACACTATAACTTTGTTTTCTTTCCCAGATGCCCTGTGTTCAGGTATTAAAACCTTTAATCAATGTGGCCATTACAGGAAAAACAGATTTTGCAAGGAAGAAAAACTTCAGATCATGGAAGCATATGAAACATTTAAAAACTCTTTTAAGGACTGTACTTAGAGTTTATATAACTGCAGCCTCCAAATCATAGGTCCAAAAACTGCTGTAAAAAAATGGAGGAACAATAGATAATTACATTAGGGAGGACACTATAGTATTTCAAAATCAGAGCCTCCACAAAGTGGTGATGTTCCTCTAATTAATAACTGACTAAAATATCAGAAGTGTGAACAGGATAATAATACTCCTTTAAACAATTTAATCTTGTTAAAAATGAATACTTTCAGTTGAGATGAACCAATGATAAGCATTTATGGAGACAAGATAAAGCGAAGTTGCACTTGAAGTAAAAGAGACCTATGTTCTGATTACTGACTAGCTGTGTGACTATTTGCAAGTCATTTAACCTCTCTGACCTTTATGACAGTGTTTGCTGTCATAATCCTAAATTATATAAGAAACTTAGTGAATCAATCACTATCTACCACAAGGATCAAGGCAGTATACTCTACTCCAGTGGTTCTCAAAGAGTGGTCCCTGACCTGCAGAATCAGCATCTCCTGAGGACTTGTTCGAAACACAAATTAGTGAGCCCCACCCAAGATGCACTGAAACAGAAACTCTTGAGGTGGGGCCCATCAATTCTATTTTTCTTAAGCCCTCCAAGAGACAGAGTGTTGGCATGAGAAAATCTGGGTTCTGGTCTGACCCTGCCACTAACTGTGTGACTGTTCTAAATCGCTATCCCAGTTGTCATCCATCAATTGAGAGTTTGAGTTTATTAGTTTTACGGACCCTTCTAACTCTTAATTTTATATGATTCTATGATTTTTCACAGCAACATGGTAGCAAGGCTTTGCTGGTCTAAAATGGTGTCTCTGCCTCATGGCAGGTACATCCCAAACCTGAAGCAACTTTGTGGATGAGTTAGAGAATAGGATCTGATCAACCAATACTGGAATGCTGATAAGAAATTTTGGGACCTAAAATTTCCAGCTAATGTCATTATTACAAAAGAATCAAAAGCTGAACTAATCTTGCCAGGTAATCCTTCTGGGCTGAAATGTTTAAATTTTTTTAATGACAAGATACATTAGATGTTTTAAACCTGAACCTTCCTTCTCTAAAACATTTTACGGTATTGGTAGGGTTAAAGAAGACAGAGTTAGAACTCCTGAAGATGAATGCTTCATTCTCTACAAATAATCCAAGTAGCAGCTGCCAGAATGGGAAGGAAATGCTAGAATAACCAAGAATTATGGGTTGCTTTTTACATATCTAGGACTGACAACAGGAGAGCGCCATCAAGTCAGTTTTGTCTCACGGTGACCTTTTGGTTAGCAGTCCAGTACTTATTCTACAATGCCACACTAGGACTCTCTCCAAATCTGAGAGCAGAGAGCCTCATATTCACCTAAAAAGAAAGGCGGGTATAGCCTAACGCACAAGTATGGTCACAGAGTCCGTTTCTTACATTTTCACCAGTGCTGCCCGGATCCGGAAGTCCTGCTGCGCCTTCTGGGATGAGGGAACCTCTTGAATCTTCCCTCTTAATTCCATGTCCATTTTGAAATGACCCATAAGCTGGAAAAAAGCCAAGACCTTGTTAACAACAGGAGGCACTATCAAGAACACTTTTAAAATAAGTACTGGATTAATTTAAGAGTTTTGTCTGGGAATAGATTTTGGTCATCTAAAATGTGAAGATTATGTATTATATTCATCAAAATGCTATTAAGGTAAATAAATGATAAGCTTTTTTTTAACATCTTAAAACACTTCTTTGTTCTATGTGAAACTGGAAGAATTCCTTGCAAGTCATAAATATAGCCACAGAATTCAGAGATTATTTTACAGATGTGGAAGTGTACAGAATGGTGACTTGGAAGAGGATTTGACATCAGTGTTTTTTTCACTATCCTCTATCTTCCTTCATCTTCTCATGATACCAAGTGATGCCATATAGCAAGCTTAATCAAGAAAATCTAAGCAAAAAATGTGGTGCCAAGTGTCAACCAGATTTTCGTGTAACTTAATAGAGACTATCACAGCTACGTATACTTTTTATGATGGAATCTTTCAAGGACAGGATTCATTTCTAAACACCCATGCGATGTGTAGCCTTTAAAGGGCTTCATTACCAGTGTCTTTGTCAGTGCTTAGACTTCCTCTACTTGTAGGTGAAGTAAAGCCACATGCAAACTCATCCCTGGAAGCCTGCAACACAAGGTGATACCCATGTCATTTAAACACATTTGTACATTAGGGAAAGAAATCTGAAATTAACAGAATGTGGTGGTACCCTGGTTTTATACAAAGCCCACTGCAGGAAGTTAACAGTTCCACTTGGGCAGGCTACACATAAAGTCCACTGTTCTGAGCAGCACATTTTCACTGGAGCATGTCCAGGGGAGGGGAACCGAAAAAAGAAAATGGTTTGGACTGGCAGATGATGAAGTGGAGGTATTTGGCCCAGAGGAAAAACGAGAAGACTTGCTGAAGGGGTACCCTGTGGAGGTAAGAACAGATGTGTTCTACATATGCACCTTTAGAGGGCAGTGGATAGAATTCCACTAACGTGAGAAAGAATGTTTTAATCTTTATGATGGCAAAAAGTTGCTTTGTCAAATTCCTTCCAAGTCTAAGATTCTAAGAAAGAGAAATGGGTACAGACCACTTGTGTTGACCTAACAGTAACTCACCAATGAGCATCAATAGAAGGCTGTCAGGGAAGGAATACAATTTAGTCCCTGGTATCTAACATTTAAAAGTGAAGACATTTTTGTTTGGCTTTCAAGTTGGATAAATACATGAAGGCATATCACAAAAGCAAATCATAATAAACCATTGAGTAGAAGGGATTCTTGGTGTTCTCTAGGACCTTGCTACTTCCAAGTGTGGTCCTAGGACCAGAAGCAACCAAGAGCTTCTTAGAAGCACAGAATCACAAGCCCTACACAGACCTACTGAATTAGAATCTGCATTTGAACAAATTACTCAGATTCACAAGCACATTAAAGTCGGAGAAGCACCACTTTAGGGAAAACAGTACAAATGAAAAACATTGGAGTAAAATGATGGACTGTTATGGTTGAAGCCATATAACACACGACTCTAATTTCAAGTACATTCTATAAAACAGGATACACTAGCAGGATTCCAACAGAAATGCATCACTACTTACAGAACTAGGCACGGCTGCACAAGAATATAAGGTATCTCGACCTGCTAATCGCTGGATATTTTCCAAAAGCAGTCCAATAAATGGGAGGTACAATTGTGCTATTTTGGCTTGCTGGTTCTGAAAAATAATAATCAAAAGTTATATAATAGGCCAGGGAGGGTAGACAAACCCGAGGCGACTGCCCTGAGGCAATCTTTTTTTTTTTTCTTCAGATTTTTACATATACAACGTGTTTATTTTGCTCAATGCGTGAATAAATGTCAAATGCTTTAAACAGTAAATATACATTTATGTTGGCTGAAGCAAAATAGGTTTTATAAATAATGATTTCAGTCATCAGTTATTGCCCTTAACCTCATAAAACCACCAAATACTCATATTAATGGCAGCCATAATTTAGCTGGTGCCTCTCTCTGGGTGCGAAGTACTGATGTTGCTGTGTAGTTGGTTCTGATTTATAGGGCTTCTGAGGCTGTTAATCTCCAAAGGAGCAAAAAGCCTGAGGCAATCTTTTAACCTGAAACCAAAAATATCCCCTGAAATCACCTTAAAACCAAACAATGTTGTTAAGTGCCATCAAGTCGGTTCCAACCCATAGCGACCCTGTACAGGGTTTCCGAGGGTGTAAATCTTTACGGGAATAGAAAGCCTCATCTTTCTCCCGCGGAGCGGCTGGTAGTTTTGAACCACTGACCTTAAGGTTCGCAGCCCGATTCGTAACCACTACACTACCAGAGCTCCTTAAAACCAAACCAAACAATAGTTTAGTTTAACTAGAACTCTCTCTAGGGGATCAAAGTGACAACAGCAATTTGAAAAGTTAGGTTAAGAGTTTCTGTTAACAGAGGAGGAAACACGTCAGAAAAGGAGGGTGAGAAGGGCTGCACAATTCTAAGACTGTAATCAAAGTCACAAAATTGTACCTGTATAGGCTGTTGAACTGGTGTATGCTTTCCTGTGCATATTTTCAACAACAGCATCAAAATAAATACAGAAAAAAGAAATAGGCATAAAATTTGTATATATTACAACGAAGAGTTGGCTCCACATTTCACTTTAAAGACTAAAAGAGCTAAGTAACATCCACAACAAACTGGTGAAGCATGAGTCTATTTCTGTTACAGCCTCAAAACTCATTACGACAGAACTTTGTTGATACTTGGATCCATATATGACACAAAGTCAAATCAACATTCCTCAAACATAACTACATCAATAAAAGATCTTTTAATAATAGAAGTTGACCTATAGGACAGATAAAATTAGTCCTGTTTTTAATTCCAGTGAGAGTTATCACAAAAGCAAATCTTAACAAGGGTTAACCTTCAGGAGAGTAGGAATGGACTATGTCTGTCTTGTTCACTGCTGCATCTCCAGTGTCTAACATACATACAGCACATGGCAATCCACATTAGTTGAATGAACAAACAAATGGAAATTAGAAGGCAGTGAACAACTATATGCATCAAAAAACACAGTTTTGTTTTGTTTTTCTGGCTTTGATTAAAGCTACAGTAAAAAATAATGTGCTCTTGGCACCTTAATAATAAGACTTGGGAGACCGATAAATTTGTAAATATGTTAAACAAACACTGCCAATTACATCTGTCAGTATGTTGTACTGTGGTGGTTTACATTTTGCTGTGATGCTGGAAGCTATGCCACTGGTGTTTCAAATGCCAGAAGGGTCACCCACAGTGGAGAGGTTTCTGCAGAGCTCCAAGACTAGCAACAGACTAGGAAGAAGGACTAGGCAGTTTGAGGGATTAGCCCCTGAAATCTGTATGAATCACAGTAAAACACTGCATGATACAGTGCCGGAAGATGAGCCCTTCAAGTTGGAAGGTACTCAAAATACAACTGAGAAAGAGCTGCCTCCTCTTAAGGTAGAGTCAACCTCCATGGAATGCATGGAAGAAAGCTTTCAGGACCTTCACTTGTTGATGGGCCATGACTCAAAATGAGAAGAAACATCTGCAAACATCCATTAATTATTGGAACATGGAATGTAAGAAGTATGAACCTAAGAAAACCAGAAGTCATCAGACAGGCACTGGAACACAGAAAGATCAATATTTTTAATCAGACAGTCATATGCTAAACTATGCCAGTAATGACAAATTCAAGAGGAATGGCATTGCATTCATCATGAAAAAGAACATTTCAGGATCTATCAGGAAATATACAATGCTGCTTGTGATAGGATAATATCTGTATGGCCAGTTGATATAACTATTCTGCCAATGATGAAGAAATTGAAGAATTTCACCAAATTCTTCCATCTGAAATTAATCAAACATGCAGTCAAGATGCACTGATAATTGCTAATGATTGAAATGTAAAAGATGGAAACAAAGAAGGTGGTATGGTAGTGTGCAGTGGAGTCGGTTCTGACGCATAGTGACCCTACATAGGGTTTTCAAGGCTGTACATCTTTACGGGAGCAAAAAGCCTCATCTTTCTCCTGTGGAACTGCTGGCAGTTGCACTGAATACTAATGATGCACTGAATTGATGCACTGAATACTAATGACCCAAGACCAGAACATCAAGAACATCATATATGCAAAAAACAAAAGGCGATTAAAAAGACAGGAGAGAAAGACAAGACCAAAGGGGATGCCAGAAAAGATTCTGAAACTTGCTCTTGAATGTATAGTAGCTAAAACAACCGGAAGAAATGATGAAGTAATAAAAGAGATGAACAGGAAATTTCAAATGGCAGCTCGAGAAGATAAAGTATTATAATGAAATGTGCAAAACCTGGCATTAGAAAACCACAGAACACAATCAGTATTTCTCAAGCGGAAATAACTGAAGAACGAAGTCAAGCTTAAACTTGCAAGACTGAGGAATTCAATGGGAAAACTACTTGAATGATGCAAAAAGCATCAAAAGAAGATGGAAGGAATACACAGAGTCACTGTATCAAAAATAATTGGTCAAGATTCAACCATTTCAGGAGGTAACATGAGATTATGAATCATTGGTATTGAAGGAGGAAGTCCAAGCTGCACTGAAAGCATTGGTGAAAAACAAGGCTCCAGGAATTGATAGAATGCCAACGGAAATGTTTCAACAAACTGATGGAGTGCTAGAAGTCCTTACAAGTATATGCCAAGAAATTTGGAAGACAGCAATTTGGCTACTTGACAGAGAGAGATCCATATTCATACCTATTCCAAAGGAAAGTGACCCCAAAGAACGCAGATATAATTGAACAATATCATAAATATCACATAAGTAAACGGTTACAGCAGTCTATTTACAGGGAGCTGGACTGCAAGGTCGGTTTAAATTGCAAGGTCGGTGGGTCAAGCTAACCAGCTCTCCTCAGAAACCCTATACAGGGTCGCTATGACTCAGAACTGACTCAATGGCACTTACCAACCACCACCACCACCAGAAATCAAGGAGTCCTGGTGTGGTGCTGCAGGACAATGCACTGGGTCACAAGGTCGGCAGTTCAAACTCATCAGCTGCTCCTCGGAAACCCTAATACAGGATGCTAGGAGTCAGAACTGACTTGACAACATTTAACAAAAACAACCAGAAATCAAAGTCAGATTCAGAAGAGGATGTGGAAAGAGGGATTATCATTGCTGAAGTCAGATGGACCTTGGCTGAAAGCAGAGAATACCACAAAAATGTTTTTATGTGTTTTATTAACTACACAAAGGCATTCGTTTGTGTGAATCATAGCAAACTATGGATAACGTTATGAAGAATGGGAATTCCAGAAAAGTTAACTGTGCTCATTAGGAACCTATATATAAAACAAGAAGTAGGAGTTAGAACAGAACAAGGGGATACTGATACTGCATGGTTTAAAATTGGGCAAGGTATGTGTCAGGAATGTATCCTATCACCATACTAATTCAATCTGTATGCTCAGCAAATAATCCTAGGAACTGCACTCTATGAAGAAGAATGCCACATCAGGATTGGAGGAAGGCTCATTAATTACCTGTAATATGCAAATAACACACCCTTGCCTGCTGAAAGCAAAGAAGCCCTGAAGCATTTGCTGATGAAGATCAGTGAATATAGCCTTCAGTATGGATTACAATTCAATGTAAAGAAAACAAAAATCCTCACTACTGGACCAGTGAACAGCATCATGATAAGTGAAGACTGAAGTTGTCAAGGATTTCATTTTATTTGTATTTGCAATTAACGTTCATGGAAGCAGCAGTCAAGAAATCATAGGACATACCACATTTGGCAAATCTGCTTCAAAAGACCTCTTTAAAATCAAAGATGTCAGTCTGAGGACTAAGGTGCTCCTGACCCAAGCCAAGGTGTTTTTAATGGCCTCATATGCATGTCAAAGTTGGATAATGAATAAGGAAGATATGAGAAGAATTGATGCCTTTGAAATATGTTGTCAAAGAAAATTAAAAGTACCATGGACTATCAGAAGAACAAACAAATCTGACTTGTAAGTACAGCCAGAATGCCTTCTAGAAGCGAGGATGGCGAGTCATCATCTTCATATACTTTGGGCCAGCGAAAAAGAGGAAGATCTCCAACAAAATGGATTGCCACAGCAACCAAGACAATGGGTTCCAACATAACCATGGTGCAGGACTGGGCAGTGTTTTGTTCTGTTGTGCATACGATCTCTGAGTTGGAGGTAGCTTAAAGGCACCTAACAACAACAACCAAATAAAACTGGGTGCTGCTGTTCTTAATGTGCCAGTACTTATAAACACTTGTTGCTTTCCTCAGCTATAGACAACCCTTGCTAATATATCCACATTTGTTGTTGTTAAGCACCCTCAAGTCGGTTCTAACTCGAAGAGAGTCTATGTAGGATTTCTGAGGAGCAGCTGGTAGGTTTAAACAGCGAACCTTGGGTTACGCAGTTCGGTGCTCGTTCTAAAAGCACCACACCAGGACTCCATGTGTTGTGATGGGACAAGGGCTTCTCTCTACATCGTAGGATGGTTTCTTTGGAGATTAGAGACCTATCTATTTAGTCTGCTGAGAGTTGAAGACTTTCATCAAATCTGAATGCAGTGATTATCCTCTTCTTCTTTTGGGTAGACATGCATGTACATCATATATGTGTACTGCCTATGTAAAAAATGCTTATATTTCAAATCTAATTTTCCGTTAAGCCTTGAAAAATAATGTAATATAGCTCAGCATATAGTATATGACAACTTCACACTTGACACCCCCAGACTAGTTTTCCCCCCAAGTGCTTTGGAATGGAGATATGTGTGTGTGTGTGTGTGTTCATATACACACATATATATTAGAGGAGCATCAAGAAGTTCTTAGAAAAATTTCATTATCATTTAATTCCATTTTCCCATGAACTTTTTGAAGACCCCTCATATGAATATGTATAGTAGTACCCACTGCTGTCATGGTGGTGGTGGTGATGTGCGGTGGAGTTGGTTCTGACTCATAGCGACCCTGTCCAGGGTTTCCAAGGCTGTAAATCTCTACGGGACAAGAAAGCCTCATCTTTCTCCCGTGGAACAGCTGGTAGTTTAGAATTGCTGACCTTGTGGTTCACAGCCCGATTAGTAAGCCCTATGCTACCAGAGTGCTGTCATAGCGGCCCTATAAAGCAAAAAACCCAAGCCCACTGCTACTGAGTTGAATCCATCTCATAGCAACCTTACATAGGCTTTCCGAGGCTGTAAATCTTTGTTGTGTTGTTGTTAAGTGCCAGCGAGTCGTCTCTGACCTATAGCGACCCTGAACAGGGTTTCTGAGGCTGTGAATCTTTACGGGAGCAGAAAGCCTCATCTTTTTCCCGTGGAACAGCTGGCAGTTTCGAACTGCTGACCTTGTGGTTCACAGCCCAATTCGTAATCACTGCGCTACCAGAGCAGAAAGCCTCATGTTTCTCCTGAGGAGCAGCTGGTGGGTTTGAACCTTTGCAGTTAGCAGTCTACAGTTTACCCTACAGTGCTAAAAATATTTATGGGAGCAGAAAGTCACATCTTTCTCTAGTGGAACAGCTGGTGGATTCAAATCACTGATCTTGTGATTAGCAGCCCAATGTTTAACACACTAGGACAAAAGGGCTCCTTATGTAGATGAACATATGTATGCATATATATGGAGTCCTGGTGTGGTGCTGCAGGACAATGCAGGGGACCTCAGAAACCCTATACAGGATCACTATGAGTCTGAACCTACACTACACTCAAGGGCACTTGACAACAACAACAATGCATATATATATATAGGCAATCCTCAGGTTACCAAATGTCTGACTTCCAAACAACCTCTTTTAGTGTTATGTAAATTAATCTTCACTTTCAACTAATTGAACCAACTCACAACTAATTCTTCATCACAATCACCTTCATTTGCTGCCTGTGCAGCTTTTGAATCATTGACAAGGCTTCAGGCTTTTTCTTGCTCTATTAAACAAACAAAACACCCCCTGCCATGGAGTGGATGCCAACTCAAAGTGACTCTACAGGACAGAGGAGAACTGCTCCTTAGAATTTCTGAGACTGTAAATCTTTCTCCAGGGAACCCTATGAGTTGGACCAACTTGAAGGCACTTACCACCACTACCACTACCATCACCACCGCCACGACCACCACCACCAAGCTCCGCCTAGGGCTTGAATGTTAGGATTATAGTTAGGACTAGGGTTCCTGTTAGGGGTAGAGGTTGGCTAGGGCTAAGAGTAAGGCTTCATCTAGTTTTAGGGTTACAGTTAGGTTTATTTTTATATTACTTAATTATCCACACTCTGATTATTTGAAAATGCCCATCCCTGTCCACAGCTGATGACAACATTGATAGTGCATGTGCAATGATTGTATTGAATAGGCAAGTGACAGTGGACTATGTGGCAAATCATTTACAAAACAGCCATGGCTCTACCTATGAAATAAACCCCAAAAGACTTGAGTTTTGAAAAGTTTGTGTGAGATGGGTACCAAAACTACTAGTAGAAGAGCAAAAACAGAAGCTTTGGACACCTGCAAACAAAATCTGGACCGATACTTGAAGTAAGGTTAAACTTTCTTAAAAAAAAAAATATCATTACTGGTGAGGAGACATGGATTCATCACTATGAGCCTGAGAATAAATAGCAGAGCATGGAATGGGAACATCCTCAATTGCCAGCCCAGAAAAAGTTCAAAAGTCAACCATCAGCTGGAAAATTGATGCTTATAGTTTTCTGGGATTCTCAATGGCCAGTATTAGAACACTATCAAGAAAAGGGTTCAACAATCAATAGTTCTCATTATAGTGAGATGTTCATTGAAGAGCTGAAGCCCAAATTTGGGATCAAACACAGAGGACTGATATCCAAGGGCAGTGTGATCTTGCTTGACAATGCCCACCCCCACACCTCTGCCCACACTGTTGACACTCTGCAAAAACTTCGTTTGAGGTGTTAAAGCATCCTCCCTATTGTCCTGATCTTGTTCCATGGCACTTTCACCTGTTTGGTTCCCTGAAAGCAGCCCTTCCAGGACGAAGAGTCACCTCGGATGAAGAAGTGAAGACAGAGAGCAATGCATTCATGGATTGCAGCACAGCTTAAAATATTTTTCAATAGGGGAATATGAAAGCTTGCTGACAGATGGACAAAGTGTATTGAAAAGCAAGGAGATTATGTCAAAAAAATGATGTGTTTGTCTTTTCTAAAAGTTGATTAAAATAAATTGTGCAGCCAGAATGCATGTAAGTTTTCACTCGCCCTTGCTAAGTTATTCCCTACTTTTACTTTGTGTTTTTTTGTTGTTGTTGTTGTTGCAATCTGAGATCTCTGGTTCCCTATTTGGTGTTTTTGCTTTACTTTGGACACTTCTATATCTGGGTTGAGTTCCAGATGATATTTTTATGTACATTAATCTCTTCTGTTGTTTGTTCTCAGTCCATAGAACTCCTTTTAGACTTTTTTATAAGGTTGATCTAGTTTTAACAAATTCTTTTAGTTTCTTTTTATTTGGAAATATCCTAATTTTGCCATCATTTATGATTAACAATTTAAAATTTATATTTAAACAAATAAAAACAAATTAAAAATTTCCTGATTGGAAATTTGCTTCTTTCCAAATTTTATAGATGTTATGCCAGGTTATCTTCTGACCTGCCTGGTTTCTGCTGAGAAATCAGAGATTAGTCTTATTAGTTCTCCTTTGTAAATAACTTCTCATTTTTCCCAAGCTGCTCTCAGGAGTCTTTCAACAATATCATATTTGCTTAGGAATTAATTTCAAAAAGGAAGCTTCTATGATAGGGTAATGATATTTAGGCAGCCCAAATTAAAGTATACATTTGAGATCAACATGATTTTTAAAACCAGTGTTTTCCTTCAACAGTGTTTTAAATCCAAAAGATAAGGACGGAGTCCTGGTGGTGTACTGAACTATGTGTTGAGATTTTCTCTGCAGGGTTGGTGGTTTGAATCCTCCATGGGAGCCCAATGAGGTTTGCTGTTCCTGTAGAGATTTACAGACTCAGAAACCCTATACAGAGTTGCTATGAGTTGGAACCGACTCAATGGCACTCAACAACAACAACGATAACAAATTCGATTTGTAAGCTTTCATCAGCACTCACATTGAGAGGCCTTACTGAAAAGTTCATCTTTAAGGAGAAATGTTAGTAGACATTTTTTTAATAGGACACTGATAATTATCTGGATAGCCTTACCTTGTGCTGGTATCTAGTATCAAATGCATGTTTTATCAAAAGATTCTTTATGACAGAGATAGCTGTGTATCTGATCTCATAATTGTCCTGAAGAGCAATGGAAGTTTCCCTCAGAAGTAGACCAACCAAGAAGTGATGCTTGCAATACTCATCTGATAAACTGTATTCAAGATTTGAATCTGCAGTGTAATGAAATTTAAAAGCCATTTGTAAAAATAACCCCAAATTACTTAAAAATTCAAATGCTCTATTCATTCCTTAGTAATAATACATTATCATGCTAGCAAGCCTTATCATTTCATTATCAGTGAAGCTGAGCATTTCTTTTATCATGTAGAATCAGCATGCACATTTCTCCAAGATACTCTGACAATCAGGGTTAGACAGTAGCCTTAACGAGAATTTCAGTCCATAAGATGCTCCCTAGATTCTTTTTAACTCTTAAAAAATCTTAGCATTTTGTCTAGAATGAAAGAAGTCTACATTTGGCAATGTCTTAACACATTTCTTTGTAGCTGAAGAGATTTATAGTAACAACTACAAATTTGAATCATTCTGTACAACCGATTTACTCATCTATTTATACTTATTAAGTGGGAGAAGGAAGAGAAACTAGACAACTGAATAGCAAAAGTTATTTTTTGCCTGAAGATTGACCTGAATATATGAGTATATCACTAGGATACAAGAACAATAAGAAAATCAGCCCCATCGCATTCTATCACCATGCAAACACAAACACTTTGTTTCATAAAATCAAACTATGTATGTCTTTTTACTCCTTTTTAGGTCCTCACTCCATTTTAAATCCTAGCTGTTAACATCCTGGTTGGGACTTATCTTCTATTACTCTGAAGGGTCTGTGACCAACTTTAGAAATGGACTCTCTTTCTCTATGCTACCATTTAATTTGAGGAGACTGGTAGCGCAGTGGATTACAAACTGGGTTGCTAACTGGAAGGTCAGCAGTTCTAATCTACCAGTCACTCCGTGGGAGAAAGATGAGGCTTTCTGCTCCCGTAAAGATTTACAGCTTCAGAAACCTTACACAGAGCCGCTATGAGTCAGAACCGATTTGACGGCATATAACCACCACCCACCACTGCCACCATTATTTAATTTGGTTAGGCCATAAAGCTGAAGGATATGGCTTTTCTTTCTTTTTCTGGACCTCTTCAGTGTGTAATAGAATGCTACATATTCAGTATGGGCTTAATAAAATACTCTTCAAGTTATTGGTGGTGTTAAGTGGTGTTGAGTCAGTTCCAACTGGATAGGGTTTCTGAGGAGTGAATCGTGGATTTGAATCAAGGCCTTTGTGGTTAGCAGTCTAGTGCTTATCCTACAGTGCCACATAAATCCTAGTGATCTGCTCACATCTCTTCTTAGCCCTGACTTCCTCTTGGGTATCAGTAAACAGTGGGGGAGTATGTGAGCTATACATGCTTAGAATCTTAACGGGGTGGTGGTGGTGGTGGTGGTGGTGGTGGTGGTGGTGGATAGGGGGTACTTGGGTTATTGAAGCACCTTTTCTCCGTTTTTCACTGGCTGTCAGGAGATACTTGTCTACAGACCAAGGCAGATTGTCTTCTGACCACTGGCCATGCTAGGCTCTCTGTGAGTCCCAATCATTTTCTATACACAAGGGCCAGTACTAACACAGGTGGCCTTATGAGGGGGAAGCAGGGGGAATACATTTTACAAATGTTAATTCTTTTTTTTTTTTTTTTTTAATTTCAGCGATTTGAA